TTTCCCAATCAGACTCTTTCCCTTGAGGTGCTCTGGGGTGTCTGTCTCCCTGGGGTGGAGCCCATCCTTGCTAGGGCTGGCTAGCATTTCACCTTTATTTCCTTCTTCACGTAATGATGCCCTTGAGCTTGTAAAATGGCCCTGGACAGGCGCGGGTCCCCGAAGTCTCTCATCAGCAGCTCTCAAAATTGTTTTGCCATTAAGGAAGCAGATATGGAGAGAGAACTGGCTACCTGGGATTGCTCCTCAGGGAGTCTACCCGGAGCTGCACGCAGCCTTCCTGCAGACTTAAGTATCCTACCTCCTGGGATGTAAGATGATGGGGCGCACTCTGTCCATTCCTCCTGGGGAAGGCCAGGGTCAGGGAGGCGGTTAGGCATCTTGTCATGTAATGAGCGGGCCTGGGGGGGGAGGGGAACCTGTGCAGGGAATTCCAGCCTGTCATTGTTTCTCTCCTCCATGCTCAAGTATAGTGCTGGCATCGAAGGAAAGTTTAAGAATTGAATATTTTTTCAAGAATGTGTATTTGGCATCCTGAATCATAGTTTTTATCTTGTTATTGGTATTACTATATTCTGGAATATATATATATATATATATATACATATATATATACACACTACACACACAACACACACATATATATACATATGTGTGTGGTATATATAGATATATATTATATATAATATAGTATAGTTTTTATCTTGCTATTGGTATTACTATATTCTGGAGTATATATATATACACTACACACACAACACACACACATATATACATATGTGTGTGGTATATATAGATGTATATTATATATAATATAGTATAGCTTTTATCTTGCTATTGGTATTACTATATTCTGGAGTATTTTCACAGCCAGTTAGGAAGATGGAACTCTCATAATATCTGAAGAGCTAGTTGCTTTTGCTATTGAGTCCCTGTTTTCAACCACTACTAAATTATCTATTTATGTAAAAGAGAAGCTTGTTAATTTCTGCTCGTTAGCTCCAGCTCTCCCTAACTGCACTTCCGAACATGTGGACAATTCTGCCTGCTTCCTGTCTAGGTCCGATGGGGCATTAGCAGAAGCAGCTTACCACGTCGTCTTCGTCCCATGCACTGATCTCAAAGGAAGGCAGCAGCTGCGTGGGAGATACGAAGGACATGAAAAAGGGAAGCGACATTACCCTCACCTTTCTGGTGTGTCCTCTCACCTCAGCTCTTCCGCTGCTCTGGCTTCCTCTGGCTCGGCTGAGAGGAAGACACTTTCCCTCAACCTTCTGGGGAAGTTTTCAGTGTCCAAGGACGCTGAGCCCAGCAGCCAGTTAGTAAATCAGTTCCTGGCAACAATGCATGCTACCTTATGAGCTGCTTTAAGGGGGACTTGGTAGAGTCTTCTTTGGCACGGGCCTTGAGATCAAGGCCTTTCTGACATTCACCAGCCGTCAGAGAAGCCTTGGAATTCTCGACCAGCAGTAGGATAATAGGAAAATTTACCACCGGAAATTCCAAAACAACCATAAGTAACCAGGTGACTTGTTTTGCCTATTCTCACAGGGATTCCTGGGGCTTAAGCATCTCCCTTGCATGGAGGAGGCAGAACATGTGAGGTTGGAATTGTCCTAAGGTATCTGGGTTCCGAGTTGCTCCAAAACAGACTGACACATCTCCCTGTCAGGGACACGTGTGGAATGGGGATTTGCAGAGCCCGTCATCAGTGTGTTCCATGGTTATGGGCTAAGCAGCACATCCTTTCATAACTTGAAAAGGCCTGTATCCCGTGGGCTAGAGTGTGGTGTAGCCAGTAGCTTCAAGTAACTTGACTTGTCAAGATGTGTATTCATGATTCATGACTCATGATTCACGAAAGAATATGCCAAAGTATCACTGGGTCTCTGTTACAGACTGTCTTTCTTTGTGAGCAGAGAGGGAAAAGGGATTAGACCGGGGGAGGTGTGATCTAAACACTTTGTACACATGGGTGGAATTCTCAAAGGACAGCAAGAAAAAGGTAAGAAAGTTGAATGCAGTTGCTTCTGCTAGTGCGACAGTCTGATGGTGGCTAAATTAATCTTCCCAACTTAGAGATATTTATTGCAAAACCGCAAGCTCAGACTGCTAGGAAAGGCATGATCCCTATAAAGAATTTTACTAGACCCGAGTGGAACATCTGTGGATTATATTCAGGAGAGGCCACTTTTATCATTGTTCTTTTAGTTACTAATGCATAATGTTTGGTACATTTGCATATTTGTATGTGTGTGGGTACATGCACGTGTGTACCCTTGGAATTCTTGACCTTGGTGCGTCTTTCCTCAGGTCCTACTCGCTGACCTGGAGCTCATCAATTAGGCTGGGCCGCCTGGCCAGTGAGCACCAGAGACCTATCTGCCTGTCTGCCCCATATATATCCCTGACTGGGATATGAGGTCATGTCACAATAGCTGGCTCTTTATTTATATGCTGGGACTTGAACTCAGGTCCTCAGACATGTAGAGCAGGCATTCTGCCAACCCAGTTCTCTCTCTGGCCCCACCTGTGTAATCTTTCTCATGCTGTCTTATAGAATGAAACGGTAGCATGAAGGACATATGTATTCGGATTATTTGGTAGTCTGCTCTGTGTGGATAGGCATACGAAGACTGATGTCCCACAGCATATAACGGGGGAATGGAAGGCAAGTGGCTTGGGCTGAGGATTGCAGGCCCTGGGGAAAGAGAAGGCAAGGAAGAACAACTGGGTAGATACTGGCCATGGGGCTGCCATAGGTGTGGCATGCTCACTTAACTGGAACACAGGATGCAGTGAGTTTGTGTTGGAGTAAAAAGAGAAGGAAGCCAATTCTGGGTGTGGCAGAGCAGATTTTATTATTTTGAACCCCACTGTTGAAACATGCGTGGATGTGCAGACTCTACGTACCACATCTAGATTGCAAGGCTATAAAGCGTGTGTTGAAGTCAGCCACGTTCCCTACATACCCCACTACTCGTGTGCGTCCTTCCTCTGAAACACACGCTCTACGAAGGAGTCACCCAGCATGCTCGCCTGCTTGAACCGTGTGGATGAGTGGATCTCAACCAAAGAAAACACATGACAGGTTTTACCTCTCCGTGGGGCAGCTGGCTCCAGCTGCAGAAACATTCCATCCCTCCCACCCACCGCGGATACCAGTGTGAAGGAAGAGACGTAGAGATACTACCACAGAAGGATTGTCCTACGTTAAGGCTCGTCTCTACAGGATGTGTGTCAGTGCCTGTGTGACTGTGATGTGGGGTGTGTGGGGTGTTTTGACTTTTATATAATTTCCAAATGTGCTAACAAGACTGAGGAATAACTATTTCTTGATAAAGACTGTAAACAAAACAGCCGACATCTTCAGTTTTAGTGTGCAAAGGACAGCGAAGTGCTCGCCTCTCCAGGGCTGGATCGTCAGCGTCATGGCGCAGGAAGACCCGAGCCTTGCCTGCCGAGCCTTCCAGCAGGAGTCAACAGAGGCTTGCAAAGATCAGTGAGAGGAGGGCTGGGACCAGGCGCCACAGCAAGACGGTTTGAATTCGGCAAGACAGGGGCTAAGAGTTAACGATCTCCAGCCACACAGAGGCTCGCGTCTCCTTCATGTTCCCTGTGCCTTGTTAACATATCAGCGCATCTGCCCGGGATGAGTTCTAAGCCTCTCTCTTTTCTTTGGGGATAAAAAAAAAAATCCCTCACGACTGCCCCATCACTTTAGAAATTCATTATTTATACTCCGTCAGACTTGAGAAGAGAGAAGCTAGCGCTCGCGCTTGTGTGCGTGTGCGTGACACTGATTTCCTCAAAGGATGTTGGGAATCCAGTCTAACAAAGATCTTACGTACACAGCGACACAGCACAGGGGTTTACTGTCAAAACGTTTATTGCAAAATGGAGTCTTAGAACAAAGGAAAGCAGAGAAAAGTTCACATCAGAACAAAATGTATGACACCAACTTGGATTTCTGAACACATTGTGGACTTGGTGCTGGAATATCAAATTCCAACTATGAAGCCGGCAACTACACAGTCTGACCACACAGGATCGCAGTTTAATCTCCCATACAGACATTATACATGGCATTTGGCATAAGACTTGCTCAGAATAACATTGCAGTAGAGCGAGGGGGGGGGGGGGGGGGATTGTTATGGAAACACAGCGGTGATGCCGCCTATTAAAAGCTCACACTCAAAAAGGGTAGAAACGTTTTCTATAGCAGTTCCCTAGAGTGCAAAAGCAGTGTGTCATGTCGGAATTAAGAGTATTCGCACACGCTGTAAACCAGTTGCCTAGTGCCTGAACTCTAGTTTGAAATAGCTAACCACATGCCAGAAAGTTTCTCACACAAGCAACACAGTGCCCACAAAGCTGGGGTCCGAGAAGACAGGGCCTGTCCCGATTTCCTGATAGACATTCATCTTTCAATCACAGAATGCCGCCAGGCTACCCTACGTCCAGCAGGGTGGAGCCTCTTGCGGCAGTGCGGAAGTCTACCCAGGAAAGCGGCCTTTCTCGAAAGCAGCAGACGGTGCCTGATTATAGAAAGAATTAGGCTCTACTGTGTGTCTGTGGTGTAGCGGGACTTGACGAGTTTCACAAGGCTGCCCCGGTCTAGTGTGGCAAAATCGTTTTCAAAGTATCCGTATTTAACTCACTAGGTTTTAAAACCATCTTTCATCTTAGCACGCTAATGAAAAACTCAAGTTATATACATACACAGTAACTTGAAGGGAAATGGGTCTGAGTCTCTGCTAAGCCCCTCCCTTCCTCTAGGCCCTTTGATTTTAATGGGGATCAGGTGTGAATACCTCAGCTGGTGTTTAAAGTCTAACGAATTCATTGCATTTTGTTTTTAAAGTTACGGGTTGAAAAAAAAAAAACAAAACAAAAAACAAACCCAAAACAGTCCTCAGTATTTTCAGAACATCAAAAGCAGTGTGCCCTGTACCTTCAACCGTATCCCACTGGCGATTCATGAAACAATAAAAATGTGCTTTAAAAAAAAAAAAGATGAGAAAAAATTCCCTTGAAATGACTGACTGTGCAGAATGACAGCGTCTCCACCCGGGCTGTACCATTGTGGAGCCTCCTTAATGGGCCAGCACCCCTCCCGCAGGTGGGTGCAGTCATTTCAGAGCGTTCCTGCCAGCAACTGGAAATCATTTCCACAACCAGGGTTCTGGGAAAAAGCTATAACTTCCTAAAATGCAGGAGGTGTTGTTAGCGTTCTGAAAAGGCTGGGGTAATTTTGTCTGGGGGAAAAGTAGAGCTGGACTCGCAGACGTGTGAGGGACTGGACAGTGCTGTGGGGATTTCAGATGGGAATCTTTGCAAGGTGGGGCTGTCCTTGGCCAGCTGGGTGCCACCAGGCTAGGCAGTACTCTGGACGGTCAAGGTGACATTACCTCCCCGCTAGGAACTTCTGCAGGGGTCCTCAAATTCTACCTGCTCAGCTTTATGAGTAAAGAAAGCTAACTGGTGATGTATTCAGCCGTCAGGCTGACAGTTGTTAAGACATTCTAGGGTTCTAATTCTCATTCTGAACCTTGACGTTGTTTTGGGATTTAACTTCTGAATTGTGTTTCTTTGTAAGTCAGGTCTTTGGAATGAAATCTAACACTGATCGTTTGTCCTTTCAAAAACTGATCCAAGCACTGAGCTAGCGCCACGTCTGCATTATTAGAAATTCTGCACGTGGCTAATAGACATTTCTTTATAAAATTAATTGAATCTAAAGCTTTCTAGTAATTTTTACAGATGGTGTGAGACCCCTAAAGGATCCTGTTTATATGAGCCAGATTTCAGGTATGCTTGAGCAATTTTCCCCCACACCCCAAACCGGGTTTCTCTGTGTAGCCCTGGCTGTCCTGGAACTCACTCTGTAGACCAGGCTGGTCTCGAACTCACAGAGATCCTCCTGCCTCTGCCTCCTGAGTGCTGGGATTAAAGGCGTGCACCACCACGCCTGGCATGTTGGAGCAGACGTCAAATAGCCAATGGTGTATTATATGGCTCCAGACAGAAGCTTTGGAAGGTCTTCACCAAGGCTGGTTCTGCCCTGCCCCAAGTCCTCCATGACTGAGTACTGAGCTGTGAGCATGGCTGCAACATTGGTGGAGAAGAAGCAGCAGTTAAGAAATGGCAGACATATGCCTGGTAATGGTAAACCTAAGTCTGCAGCTAGAACCCAGTACCTTCCCCTCAGTGACACTATCTGGCTGGCTTTTCATGCACTAAATTTTTTATATAGAATATGGATTTAGGTTTTAATTTAGGAAAACAACATTATTTCGATGGTGTTTGTATGTTCTAACCAACTCTTGATTAGCGGGTGGTGAGGCGTATGTGTGTTCTTCCTTCTAGGGGAGAACTCATTCCTCATAGAGATCCCTTCACCTTCGGGTCTGCAAATGGTACCCATCAGCCAGGCCTTTTCTGACCACGCTTTGAAGGCCTCTCCCACCAGCCTCCTCTTCCTCCAGTCTTGCTTTAATCTCTAGCACGCACTTCAAACCACAGCATTCTGTGACGCACGCTTTCCTGACAGCGCACTCCTGCTCACTAGCACACATACTCCATGAGTGCAAATGCTGTCATCTAGCTATTCTCGAGAACTCGGTAGACCTGTTGGTCAAAAGCCTTTATTTTTTCCTGGGCAGATGTGCAAGAGGCTTTAAGACCCTGCATCTGCTGCCACTGTCTCCTTCAAGTACTTGCAGCATGCTGGGGAAGTAGGAATTGCTAGGCATCCCTTCTGCTCCCCCTAAGTTGTTCTGTTTGAGTGGCCTGGCTACCAGTCTAGAATACATATGTGCAGAGGATTACAGCAGGACGGGCACGAGGGGAGCCATCTCAGGCAGACTGTACCCGTACTGCCCGTAAACACCTAGTACAGGTGGACCTGGCCACGGCGCACAGGTTCCCAGAGCAACCGAATTAAATCTGTTTGCACACTTTACATCCTAAGAACTGCTCTCTCTATTTCTCCTGGAAGCTCTCTACTTTTAGCTTCATACTTCTGAGCAAGCCTCACTTGCAATCGATGGTTTGATAACCCAGAAGGTTACTGAACCCACTCGTTTCTCAGTGTCCCTTTCACTTGGCAGTTAACTGTCGCCGGTGTGATGTGGCACCTGCCGTGGCTTGGCGCTATGCTACAGGGTCACACACCTTCTTCTGATCCTCTTCCTGTCATGACCATGACTGCCCAGCAGACAGACACCTAGAACGCTGCACTGGTTACTTCTCCCCTGACGAAGCTGTAGTGTACGCTTCTCATTTTGGGTGGTACTTTTCCATTCTCCTGGAGGATTAGAAGCACATCTCATCTCAGATTCCCAAAGACTTAGTAGGCGACCATCCTCGTAGATTAGTAGATGGCTTCTAATCCTTTCTTGGGACAGAGTCTTGCTGGGCAGCTCAAGCAGGCTGTTACTAAACTCCCTGTCCCTCGGCCTCAGCCTCCAAGTGCCAGGATGTGGACACACCCACCTGATGTTGGTGCTTCTAAACAAAAAGGCCCACCACAACTGCTTCATTTTCGTTGTCTAGTGAATGACACTAGTTCTGAGTTAGGCTGATAAAGAGTTTAGTTTTGTTTTGCCTTTGATCTGGTTGTAATTTTTATAGGAGTTTATAGCTTAAATAGGTTTTGAGAGATAAGCTTGTCTGCTGAGAGTGTCTCTAGGTAGCCTGGCCTTCACGGTAAGTAGCACCTGAATTTATTTCTCAAACCAACATCACAGAGCACAGGGAAAAGGAAAGAAAGAGGTGGGGGCGACGCTGTGTCAGAATGCACTTGTGTCTAAGAAGGATAATTTGTATTTCCTTTTTATAGTGTTCATTTTTCCTACACATAGATTAAAATCTAGGATTATTATTATGTACCTCTGGAAAACAAAAAACAGAATGTCTTTGTTGGATGTTCAGAGCAAGAGTGTGCTCAGCCTGTTCGTGCCTAGACAGGTCCCTGTGGGACCATGTGCTTCTGTGCAAAGGACAAGCTAAGCCTAGGGTGACAGTGTGTTCATATTAGGATGTTTCCAGCCAGCATGGGGGATGCAAGCTTGCGCTGTCTGCTGCTTGCTTCAAATCAGAGTGTTTCTCCTTCAAATGTCACTAGAGAACACCATTCGGGTTTTACTTGGAGGAGCTGTGTGCTATTTGGTTTGAAAATTCTTGGCATTTACGTATTTCTGAAGAAGCATTTTTTAAAAAAATCTTTTATCTCAGCCTTTTTTGTGTAACTGGGTTTTACAGTCATCAATCACTTCTGCCATTACAGTGTATTGTACAAGGAGGAAACCTCAGTGTGCTGGGGAAGAAACAAGCGTCAGAGTGGAGTCAGGAGTAGAACTTGTCCCAACCCACCGAGTGAAGAAAATACGATATTGTCAAATACAAACTACACAGTATGCACTTTAAAGAGGAAAGGCCCAAAGGTCGTTAGCTTAAGAACGTGATATGTATATAACTACAAATTTCTATAACCAGGCACCACACTCGCTGATAAATATGCTTTTAGCTTAATTTCCCTGCCTCGATTTTCTGGATGCAAAAGCAAAGTCACCCCATGAGGAAACTGCCCTCTGTGAGCTTGGCCTAAGATGCAGTGCTTGGTGCTCGCCTCCCTATGCTGCTTTTTGCACAGACTGAGATAATACATTTCTTCTGTTTGTTAAAAAAAAAAAAAACAACCATTTTCGATTTTATTGCTTTCTGCCGTCATTCACTATTATTCTCCATGTCATTCTCTTCCTCACCACCACCATCATCATCATCATCGTCATCACCTTCTGACAAGTCAAAATCACTGAACCCCAAGGCCATGTTGACTTTCTTCCCCCGCCTCTTAGATGTGGTTTTGGATGAATTCTGCTTGGCTTGCATGTTTATCTGCATCCCAGAATGCAGCACAGCTCCTGCTTTGTTCATTGAGAAGACATCCCCAAAGCCCATGAGCATCATGGCCTGCAGACTTGGCTTCATGCCATGGCCCTCCCCGTTACTTGTTGCTGTGATCTGGCATGACACCTCTGCACTGTTTGACTCCTCTGTCTTAGATTCAAAGTAAGACTCCTCAGACATTCTTGCAGCAAGAGGCAAGAGAAGCTATCAAAGGGGAAGAAAGGACAGAAGTGAAAAGAGAAATTAGTACCAGTTTAAATCAGGAGACAGATACCACAACATCAGTTGGTACTATGCAGGAGGTGAATGGTGAAGACGGACATCCTGGCAGGTTTGGCACCAGTATATTGGCCATAATTTACAAATGACAGCGGAAATAATAACTGAAAGATGGCAAAGCACCAACCGTGAGCCAAATTCCAAATGGACAGGTAGGGACCAGCTTTAAGTCCTTGCTTCGCTTAAAACAAAAAAGGTTTTAGGATGGTCTCTTTATAATTATTCCCAGTTTCACCTCCGTACAGAAACATTTGGTTAGCCACTCAATTAATTAAAAAAAAAAAAAGAAACGAAGCAGAGATTAAATCTCAAGTTAAAAAAAAATCCAGAAACCCTGTCCCAAGAAAGAGCTCAGAGGAAGGGCAGAAGCAGCTAGGCTGTGTGTCTGGCTGGGGACCTCACGGGCTGGTGCCCCAGCACACTCTGAAGGTCACTATTCTCGCTCCCTTCCGTTCATTACTCGACTCCAGCTAGATCTGACGCTGTGTAGTTCATTCAGGTTCTTCTATAGCCGACCTGGGAACAAATTCTAGAGCCTGTCTAACCTTTAAGTCTGGGGATACTGGGTGGCATGCTTAGGATCCCCGAGACTGCTCCTTGCTGTCTCCACTGCTCATGGCAGCTTTGTCTGTGTGTTCTTTCTCACGCTGTCGTGGGGTAACAAGTGTTTATCTTCTTCCTTGTGTAATCCAACAGCCAGCCTAATCTCTAATGTCTGGTTCTATTTCTTTTACAGTAAAACTGTCAGGATATAAAAATGATGTTTTTAGCTGGGCAGTGGCGGAGCACACCTTTAATCCCAGCACTCGGGAGGCAGAGGCAGGTGGATCTCTGTGAGTTCAAGTCCAGCCTGGTCTACAAAGTGAGTTCCAGTACAGTCAAGACTGTTACACAGAGAAATACTGTCTGAAAAAAGTTTTTTAAAATAATGTTTTTATATCTCCTTTTGAGAACTAAGCAAATACGGTGCGTACTCTGCACATGATGTCACATGCATGAACTTGGGGAAATGCACGGGCCGTGAAATTCCCGGATGAGCTTCACATTCTGACTGTGAAGGCACCAAATATTTAGTGCCATTTTCTTTTTAATTTTAAGAACTTACAAACCTTATCTACTATTGCTGCAGGCATGCGAATGCCTCAGGTGCATGTGTGGAGGTCGGAGGACACCTTTGGGAGTCAGGTCTCTCCTACCCTGTGGTCTCCAGGGACTCCACTCGGCTTGCCCTGGCAAGCACGTGGAGCCGCAGAGCCATCTCCATGGCCTGGTTTTCTAGTTTGAGTTCCTGTTGAACTGTTTTCAAAAACCAGCTCATTCTATTAGAGAATTTTGGCGCTGCAGGCTCTGTCTCAAGGGCATGGCGTCCAGCCAGTCTCAGGTCCTGCCTCGTGGGGCAGGGCCTCACTCCCCATGGCCATCCTTCCTGCATTCTCAAATTGGCTTTCAGCTGATAGAAACTCTAAGGAACTCTTCGCTGTTCATTTGTTTTATTATCGCTGAGGTCTCGTCTCATGTAATGTTAGCCTGGAAGGCACTCCATAAATATTTCTCAAAAAAGACTTTATCTCTAAGACAGCAAACTGCAACAATAATTAAAAATCAGCATCACCCCTAGTTATGCACAGAGAACGCATCGTTCCAAGCCTTTTATGTGTCAGCTTTAAGAAGGGAACCGTATCCCTGAAATCAATGTGATAGTATTTTTGTGCAGTCGTGCAAATGTTCGGCTGTTGTATTTCAGAAGAAGCTACCTATATATATATATCTATATATATATATATATAAAAGCCCAGTCTTGCCACTTTTAAAAAAGATGTCTCTTGTTCTCAGCAGTCAAGTTTAAAGCCAACTAGAGCCTGACGTGAGGATAAAAGGCAGCTGCTCATCAAATACCTGAGCATAAACTCCTTCCCCTTAGGAATAGCGGCTCTAGGCAAAGGAGCCGGTGAAAGCAAGTATTATAAACAAAGAAAACTTGGGCCTCGGAGGGAAAAGGGAGGGAGCCACGCGGAGACATGCACCATGCTGTCCCTTGTTAGCTGGTGGCCCGCAAAGCACTTTCTTTAAACGAAGTTTTCTGGAGCTTAAAAAACGCAAGATACAACCTACTAAGCACCCGTGGCGTTTTATTCTTTAATCCACAACGGTGTTACCAGCAGCAATAATGTGTGCGAGGCAGCCCATAATTTCTTAGCAAAACTGATGCCAATAAAGCCAAGGCGAGGTTCTAAAGCGCACTCTAATAGGCGGTTGAAAGTTTCCTGACAATACTGCGTTTAGATGGAGTCAAGCCATGCAGCGCTTTACAGTTAAGGTTTCAGTGCACTTAAAAAGCAAAACAAAAGAGCCCTCAGCCTTCAGCGGATGGGCTCTAGGGACAGGCTGCATTCTCACTCCTGCTCCCACCTGCCCTGGGTGCACCAACTCATTCTGAACGGGAGACTCGCCCCTTTACTGGTTAAGTCCACAGGACTCACTCACAAGAGTGAGGTACCTTTTTAGTACCCTGTGACAGTCTTATGCACAGCAATGCAGTTCTGACCTTGGCATTCCTGGGATTACCAAGGGCATTTTTGAAAAGGGGTAAATCTGTAATATTTAGATGCATTCTTTTTTTTTGGGGGGGGGTTAGAGGGCTTCTCCATAGGAATTGGAGATAGAAACAATTTCTCTTATTCTTTAGACATGGGATGGCATCTTGCAATATACCACAGGCTGTTCAATGGAGGTTAAGACTTGTCTAGATACGAAAGGTCTTTGAGGAACACAAAGTGACGAGCACTGAACTTTTTCCTTGATAAATTTGTCAATCACTTTATTTTAATCTCTCATTCCTTGTGATTTGAAGTGGATAAAAACTGCCCACTTGAAAATTCTGGAAAGACCAATCGTAAGCTTTTCTTGCTTTCTGAAAGTCTTGCTTTCTGAAAATCTTACTTAAAATCTAGAAGAATGATGAAACGCGATCTCAAATTTAACGGACAGCTTAAACTCGAGGTTAGAAGATAAAGACCCAGGGCTCCTCTGGGTTTAGGAGAGAGTAAGAGTCTTTCTAAAGGTAAAGCAAGCAGGCTTCCTGTCCCAGGAGAAGCCTTTGCCCCATTTTATGCCGCTCATAATCATAGCACTAAATTAATAAGGAATATTAATGCTCGTCATCACTGTCAGCGGCAGGCCGGCTGGATCTTAGAAAGCAAATGTGGCTAAGTTCTGACACACCCAGACATTCCTGGCTGCCCTGCCATTCCAGTTATCCATTGCTGAACAGCAGCGTTCCAACAGCGTGCTAAGACCCTAATGGATGGCCCAACAACACCGCAGAGTGTACTCTAGTAACTTCAACGTACAAATGCTCCGAGAGAATACCAGTTCTTAAGGAAAGATCCAGAAGGAGGGATTCCCCTCTTAAATAGGTTTTTCCTTTAAATATGTGGTGTTTTGGTGTTTTATACACTTTACGACCAGAGCAGGCCTTCAATTCTCAGGAGCAGGGCAGGGAAGAGCTAGAGGTGGGGGGATTAGGCATGTTGCCATGCTCAGCCAGGCTTGCGCGTGCTGCAGGGAGCCACTAGGTGGCGTACTCACCGGGGTGTTGGACTGCTCGGTCAGCTTCTGTTCCCACATCTTCAAGCGTCTCTCTCGTTCTTTGAGCTCCTGCTCTTTAAAGCTGAGGTCTCGCTCTAGTTTCTTCAGCCTCTCCAGGGTGGCCTCAATCTCGCACCTGCAGAGAGGTAACTCAGTGAGTCTCCGCTGCTGGTGGGACTGGGGACACTCAGTGGGTGTATCGGAGTGCTAACCAGGTGAAAAGCTAAGGTGTGGGCTTGGAAATTGGCCAGGAACCAACCAGAGAAGCAGGACTCTTTAGCCTTCAAAATCAACAGGCAGTTTCTAGTTGGGAAAAAACCAAAAACTCAAAGCATTTCAACAAAGTACTGAAGAGATCGGGAACTACGTAGCTCAAGCCAGGAGCTGGCATTGTGGACTGGTCATTTAGTACCTGCTTGTTGTTTATGAAGCTTTACAACTCACAAGGCACTGTCTCAAGGTCTCTCATCTTACTTCTACAACAGCCCCAAGAAATGGGTACCAATCTGTGGACCGGATGGGTGAGTTACTGGGCTAGCATTCTTGCCCATGATGGGGCTCAGCAAGGCTGCTTAACCTAGCAGTTTCTTTGGCTGTAAGGGCAATGGTTATAAGATGCCAGGGTTCTAAGGTGCCTCATCCTGAGAAGTCCTGGGCCTGCTTGTTGAAAAAAATGAAACATGGATGCCTACGACTCTATCTTAGAGCAAGTGCATGAATTGCTGGCTGGGCAAGACTTGACTTTTTCCACCATTTAACAAGCACAGGTAGGGTTTTTTTTTTTCTATTTTTCTTTTATTGAAAATGGACATTTCTCCAGCTGGGCAGTGGTGGTTCACACCTTTAATCCTGGCACTCCAGAGACAGAGGCAGGAGAATCTCCTTGAATTTGAGGTCAACCTGGTCTACAGAACTAATTCCAGGACAGCCAGTGCTACCAGAGAGAAACCCTGACTTGAAAAATAAAACAAAAAGTCATTTTTTTCCTACAATATTCTCTGATTATGGTTTCCCCTCCCCAACACCTCTGAGATTCCTCTTGCCCATCCAAATCCAAACTCTTTCTGTCTCTCCTTAGAAAACAACCAGGAATCAAAAGAATAAGTATAAAAATAGAATAAGATAAACAAAAACACACAAACTAGAATAGGACAAAACAAACAGAAGAAAAAAGGCCAACGAAAAAGCACAAGAAACATATACAGGTGCGGACATACAAGTTTGTACACATAGGAATCCCAAGCAAATGAGTTTTATAATCTAGCAAGCATGAGTTACTTCAGTCCAGAAAAATTCTGCATTTCTTTTAGACTCTATAATCTTAAAGAAAGTTCCTTCCCTCAGGTCTGGGCCACTTAGGACACTGTGCCCAGTAACAGAAACTGAAACTGGCAAGAGGCTTCAGCAGGAACGCTTCCTCCTTCAGCGCTGTCACAATGGGAATGTCTAAATTTATGCCCTGAGAACTGGAAGTTCTCTCCCTTGGGTTTCTGAAGAGCTTGCACACAAGCCCTGAGCCAAAGGAGTGCTAGAAGGGCCGGGGTGGGGTGGTGGTGCAGAGAAGCCTGCAAAGGAAGCCAGGAAGCCTGAAGGACACACCTCTGGTGTCCTGAGAGGACTCTCCCGTAGGCTGCTGAGACAACGCCCTCTACACACTACATCGTCACGGCGAGACCTTGGGTGTGGAAGGAAAGGCAGGGCCCCCAGAGCTTAGCTAAGCAAAACCTGCCCTGCATTTCCAGGGAAAGTCAGAAGAAGTGGACACATTACTCCACTCCTTAGGCATGAAAAGTGAGTCGCTCAGCTCATGGGGAAGCCTGGAGGAGGGTCTGCATTCGAACCAAACTATTCTTTCCCTGCCTGTAGGGAAAGTCCTTCACTGGGGCCGTGTGACAAAGCACGGAGGGACACTGAGGTCACAGTGCAGTTCCAGAACAGCCACAAGAGCAGAATCTTTCAGAATTATGACTTTACCGTAAAATCCAATATTTCTGAAAGACGTCTCAACTGGGAGGATAACCTTCCGCAGTGCTGCAGGCCCGGCTTCCTGGCACTACGCCCTCTTGAATGCCAGGAGAGTGAGTGGCCCATGCCCATAGGCATGAGAAGGCATCACCCCCTCGTGGTGTCCTTTGTTCTGAACGGGCGCATCACTGTCGTGGATGTGTTAATATACAACCCTTCCACCTCTAAAACCTGTCGGTAAAAACCGATTCTCTAACACCAAACCCAGCCAAGGTTGATTTCAGCTAGTATCAATTTTCCCTTCCTAGGAAATGAACTGCAGTTATTCTCCTCTAGTTAGACAGATTTACTGGGAAATCGTGGGTCAGTCTGAAAAACTACCCATATGGCTTGTGGATTACACGGTGAGAAGAAGTATATTCGAGTTGTGCTAAGGAACACATAATGGGTCCTAATACGCACATGGCAAAGATTACAGTTTTGATCTCTGCTTTTTGTTCACAAAAGGCATATCACACCAAACAATACTTTGGCCACCATGGAAAAACAACCAATAAAGTGTTTTGCTAACAGGCAAAACCCGAATTCTCCATTCCAACCCCTCGGTTCATTCATGTATATTACTGCAGGCTTGTAGAGTCATATGAGGTGAACAACCGGAAGCAGGAGCGTTGGGACGCAGGCTCTGCTCCGACTGCTTGGACGTCAAGGGGAGGGACAGCCAAGGAATCGATGAACTGAATCACACGCTCACTCTTTCCTTACACAGTTTGAGTGGCCTTTAGTAAGCTAGTTTTACAGAGGATTTTTAGAATCATTTAATTTTCTAAATTGGGCGTTTTGTCTGCCTGCGTGGAGAGAAAGTTCGAGCAGGAGGCCATCATCTGCGTGTATCCCAGCATGCCTGGACTTACACTTCTCTGTGGCTCCCATTTGCTGAAAATCTTTGGACCCTGACGAACGTTAGGGCAAAGGAAGCAGTAGTATAAATGTCCTCTCCTTTGACCGCCGGGTGATCTGAGACCCTACGGCATTTCTTTTTGGCATGCGGCACGCTGGAGGACAGCTTTTTGACTCGATTGATAACCTAAGATGATCACACCCTGCAATTTGCTTCTGAGCTAAAAGGAAATCAGGTGAAAAGAACCCTGCGTGTTAAAGGGCAGCGGGCGTGACCGACGGCCACAGTCCAGTGTCACGGCGCATGCGCCTCATTCCGGCTCCACCGGGGTACAGTATAAGTTCAGGTGAGTTACCCAGGCTGTTGAGGCCTCAGAGAGATGTTAGCTCCTGAGATCTGAGTAGGGCTGTTATGGAGATTAAGAAAGATAACCCAGATGAAGTGTGGGCATCTGGGGGAGTATGACAAACAATAACTCTTATCAGTGTTACAGCCATCATCCCCCGGGCTTTAACCCATTGCCAAGTTCGGTTACCTGAGCTCTAGGCTCTGCTGCCTCCAACTATTGACGACTCAGGTGAGGCTCACTGGCTCTGTCAGCTCCTGAGAGGCCCCTGAGGAAGCCCCTCGAGAAACGGGGCCCTCTTACTGATCAGGGCACCCTCCCCCCATTCTTACTACCCATTCTCTTAATTTCCCACCTTCAAGTGTGGGGTTTGTTCGCCCGTGTTTGTTGTTGAGATGCAGTTCTGCTATATTACCCAAGCTGCGCATGAGCTTGTGATCCCCTCTCCCTGACTCTCTTGAGTAGGAAGGTCTCTAGGCATGGACTGCTCTAGCTGGCTTTTACCTTGAAGTAGTTTAAACATCACATTTATCATTCAATTAATCCAGGCTTAATGTAGAAGTATTAAAAAAAAAGGCAAATAAAAAACTACCATTACCCAGTGACTCACTCTCTCTCTCTGACACATTTTCTAATGTGCATACACACATTAGTATGCACTGGTTTTATTTTGAAAATTCTATCATTTTGAATAACTGAGACCATAGTCTCCATTTTATGCCCATTTCTCAGATCCACTGATCAGAGCTCCTGGGCAGGGCTGCATCATTCTGGGGGAGGAGACACTGTTTTTCCAAAGCCATTCTTTTCTTACACAACGTTCCGTCTCCAGCTTTGGTGTTCTGAACGGGGCTCTCTGAACAAGCACCCATACACTCCGCCAGAGCTTTCCCATTGGTTTGCTCTGCAATGACATCGTAACTATGGCAGCGCACTGGGCAAAGCCTTTGAACATTTTTAGGGTGTCTAACTGTACCACGCATGCGTGCGAAAGTTTGAAACTCTGATAAATGAGCAGTTCTCCCTTATATTTACTTGTTTGCTGAGTGAGGTTGATTATTTTCACATGCCTATTTGCCACTTGACCTCTTTTTAAATTAGGTTAGGTTAGCATGCAAAGAATGCGTTTCATCACGGTATCTTCATACATGATTCACTGTACTTGTTCTTACCGGTCCCACCACCCACTGTCCTCCTCTGTGCTCCAAACTGCCCAGCTAGCGGCCACTTCTGCCCACTTGTCACAGGTACACTGTTGCCTTTTCTATTTCCCTCCTCCCTCAAAATCCTTCAGCCCTGCCGTGAACCTTTTTCTTTTCCATTCAGCAGCCCACACATATACAAATATAAAAATAGACATATAATTTTATCTTGCATATATGTGTGTGTGGTGTTGTGATTTACTATCTGTTCTTGTGAGCACGCACAGGTGTGTGTATGTGTGCGTGCGTGTGTATAAGCTGGAGGTTAATGTTAGGTATCTTCCTCAATCTCTCTCAGTTTAATTTTTCTTGCTAGGGTCTCTCATTGAACTTGAAACCCACAGACTTGCCTAGGCTGGCTGGCCAGTGTGTATCAGGGATCTGCCTGTCTCTGGCTGCCCAGCGTGGGGGGGTTTATAGACACATCCTACCGAGCCGCTTTAGACACACACACACACACACACACACACCCCACCTGCATGCACTTGTACGTTCTGCCTATAGAGAAAACACATGAATCAGTCAGTCTTGTTAGCTTAACACAGTGATTTCCAGTTCTATTCATTTTCCCTTATGGTTGCATGGAATTTCCTTTATCCGCTCATCTGCTGGTGGGCACCAAGCAGGTAACGGTCCCTGGCTATTGTGTGTAGTGCAGTGGATGTCCAAGTGTCTTAGTGCTGTGTTATTCTGACCTTTGTTGTGCTTAGAATAAGAATAATGCCCACAGCTAGGCAGTGGTGACATGTGCTTTTAATTCCAGCACTCATGAGGCAGAGGCAGGTAGATCTCTGAGTTCAAGGCTAGCCTGGACAACAGAACAAGTTCCAGAACAGCAAGGGCTACACAGAGAAACCTTGTCTCAAAAAAAAAAACCAAAAGCCAAAAGAAAAAGGAAAAGAAAAGAAAAGAAAGAAAGAAAGAAAAAGAAAAAAAGAAAGGCCCCCATAGGCTCCTATTTGAATGCATGCTTAGCCATCAGGAAGTGGCACTGTTTGAAAAGGATTAGGAGGTGTGGTCTCATTGGAGGAAGTGTGTCACTAGGGATTGGTTTTGAGGCCTCTAAAGTCCAAGCCAGGAGCTGGCGTTACAGTCTGCTCTGAGCCTCCTGATGTGGGTGCTGGGAACTAACTGCAGTTTGGGAACAGTAAATGTTCTTAGCCCCTGAGCCATCTTTTCAGCAGCATGAATTTACTATTTTTAAATGAATTTTCAGTTCTATTTTATGTAATAAATACTATCATATATGACTCATTTACTCAAAGATTTTTTTGGAGTCCCCATAATTTTTTAAGAGTGAAATCGAGATGCGTGAGAGACGGCTCTCTGGACAGGGGTATTTGCTGGACAAGCATGAGGACCGGGCTTGGGATCCTGGCACACGCACACAAAGTTGGCGGTGGCCGTGTTTGTCTACAGCCCCCGTACTGTCTCTGCTGGCCAGAGACAGGAGGGTGACTGGGACTTGCTGCCCACGACTTAGCTCCAGTTTCAAGGGAAAGGAAAGAGTATGATAGGGTCACTCAACATCCTCCTTCTGTTTCTGTCCACATGTGTGCACTTGTGCCCGCACACACCCATGTATACAATCCCACCATGCTCGCTCACACACAAACAGTGAACCAAACAGTCGAGAAGCTCTAGTCTACCACACAGTGGAAGAAAGTTATAGCGGGATGCCATTTCTCTTGCAAAATTATTCAGGATAGGTATTGGTTTTGGATTTAGGAAATTTCAATTCTTTTTTTTTAGGAAATTTACTGACTTTGCTTTGTTTTCTTTCTTGGAGCACTTAAAGAAGCCTATCTCCGACACACTAATACTCACGGGCTTAAAATCCCGCTAATCCTTTGGATAACACATCAAATAGCATTTCCTCAGGGAACCCCTGCATTATACACCCAGATCGGAGGATCAGATTTCACTGCAAATGCTCTATTAGCCATGGCTTCTCTGTCCTATGGCTTACCACACACAATGCGGATGGTTATCAGTGTTCTTACGTCTAGCATTGTAACATGGATGCTTCTGAGGCTGCTACTGGAGAATGCCACCCATCTGGGGACATTGTCCACACGACTGCAGCCCAGCACCTAGGGAAGGAGCAGCCTCTCCTGCACCAGGAGAGGTTTCAGGAATGTGATTGTAAGCGCTGTGCCCAGGGTATGAGAGCAGGGTTCCCTGTGTCACAAGTGCCACGCTCCCTGCCTGCCTACCTGCTTTCTTTCCCTGCTGCCTCGCTTCCTTCCTTCCCCATATGTTTCCCGAGCAATTGCTATTGGACAAGATGGAGACAGAAATACAGCCAACAGTTTGCCTTTTCAACCCTCCAGCGGCGAGGTACATGAACTCAGTGATCTCAGAGCCCGGTGGCACTGACCGGTGGGTGGGTGTTGCTCCCTTGCAGGTGAGCTAGGTCAGCAGTTACCTAGACGGCTAATGGGAGCTGGGGGAGGGGCAGGAGGAAGGTGCAACCGAAACAGGGTGGCTATGAAAAGGAGACCGCATTGCAGAGGTTCTGGAAGAGCGAAATGTGCCTTCGTGGGGGGACCAAAAGCCCGAGGCTCGGGGCATGCTCAAGATAATGGGGTCTTCTGAAGGGCGAGCGTTTCCATCTTTGTCTGAAAAGCAATGGAGCCCACATACGGAGTTTGAGGGGGAGTGATATGATTACATGTGCACTGACCTGTCACCATAGGAAACAATGTCTCACCGGGGTTTTGTTATTTTAGACCAGGAAAAAAAAAGCCCTCAGCTCTGGATTAGAGCTCGCTGCATTAATTTTGTATTGCCAAGAAAAATTCATGAAAGCGACTGGTATTAGGCACTTATTTCAAAGGAATGAAAATAAGTAAGGTCATTGTAAAATATCAATCAAACAGAAAGCCCAGGGTAATGTGTGCTGACTGACAGCAGTCAAGATCCAGAGGCTCGCCATGTGCACGCAGTACTGACTTAGGACCAGCAGGTGGCGTAGGGCATTGCGTTACCGCCAGAGATAGCAGGAGCAGGGATGAAGTTACTAATCTCTGCTGAGTCAGGGGAGGAAAGGCGTCCAGCTCCCAAACAGGCTATTTATATTCCCTGCGTCATTCGGTCTAGTCCAACTGTTTCATCTTGGATTTACTTTTTCCACTTACACAATACAAATCTCTCTTTACTGATTTGTTTAGCTAGGATTTATAACATCTAACGTGTTTTTTACAGGTTCCCCATTCCCTGCACTAGCAAATACAGTGCATGGTAAGGCTATCAGGATACATACCTATTTCTTATTTATTTATTTATTTATTAAAGATTTCTGTCTCTTCCCCGCCACCGCCTCCCATTTCCCTCCCCCAACCAAGTCCCCCTCCCTCATCAGCCCAAAGAGCAATCAGGGTTCCCTGTCCTGTGGGAAGTCCAAGGACCACCCACCTCCATCCAGGTCTAGTAAGGTGAGCATCCAAACTGCCTAGGCTCCCACAAAGCCAGCACGTGCAGTAGGATCAAAAACCCATTGCCATTGTTCTTGAGATCTCAGTAGTCCTCATTGTCCGCCATGTTCAGCAAGTCCGGTTTCATCCCAGGCTTTTTCAGACCCAGGCCAGCTGGCCTTGGTGAGTTCCCGATAGAACATCCCCATTGTCTCAGTGTGTGGGTGCACCCCTCGCGGTCCTGAGTTCCTTGCTCGTGCTCTCTTTTAATTTTTTTTTTTCTTTTTCTGGGCAGAGGCTAAAGCTTCCTAACACAGAACGTATACAGAGAAGGTTCTGGAAATGCCCTTTGCTTCAGAGTATGTGATTCGACACTCTTCCCAAACACTTAGATGCATGCTATTTAAGAAAACAAACACAGAGAAACTCTTGCTTCCTTATGCATGAAAGGTAAATCTTAGCCTGCGCCCAGCCCCAGTAGTGCTTAGAAATCAGGACTGTCCATCAGCTATCCAGTCTTATCACTGAAGCCGTGGGCGGGGACTCGCGCTGCACCGGAGCTACTCACCTCCATTCGGCCTTGTTGTGCAGGAACGAGTTACACTGGTCGGGAAGGTTCGTATCGTTGGACATAGACTCCAGGATCGAAATGATTTGCTTGAACGATGGCCGTTTCTGAAGAAGAGAAAAAGGAACCACCGTGAGACTTAAAGGAAATGGGAGGAGGGAGCGGAGCCACAACCAAGGAAACCAAGGCCAGGCTCCCTCTTAGCGTTTATAGCCATCAGATCACACAGGTGTAGGGAGCCGAATTCTTCATCTGCGGTGAATTATCCAAAGGATAGATATTATTTTATCCACAGGGCATCAGGGTAATGAGTACTCTTTTGTAGGTAAGAAGAGAGGGACCAAGTCCTTCTTTGAGAAATGACCAAGAACTCTAATCAAAAAAAAAATCTTAAGTCACCAGAGACCTACCTATGTGGGAGAGATAGTAAAATCTTAACTGGATTATTTATTTTGAATGTTCTGCTATTTACTACGCAAATGTTTCCATCTTTTGCCTGTTTTTTTTTTTTTTTGTAAAAGGTGTGTGGGCAGGCAGTATCTGCTTACTGACCTAATGGAACTAATAAAATTTCCCAAATCAATTGGTCTGAAAAAAAAAAAACTTAACGCCATAATAACATCATGGTTCTGAGGGTTTATCCCACACTGAAGCCTGCTTTAGTCCAGGACGTTACCAGGCTGTAGACAGAACTGGAAAAGCACGCTCCACCTGTCTCTAACAAGCACTGTCTACGCTCACCTCTCTCCGCTCCAGCCAAGGCTGAGACAAAAGGTTAAAACAAAAATGGAGAAAGATAATAAAAGGATGATGCACATCCTCTCCTCATCGTGCCTCATAATTACACCATTTCAGAGCAAATTACAGCTACAGTAATTAAAACACGCATTTTAATTTAGGAGCACAAAAACAGGAAGGAACAGTGTTGAGGTGGCTTGCTCTCAGGACCTGGGTGCCTCTGACATTATTAAGAAAAGCACTTTCCCATAACTCAGGAATACAAAGCTAGGATATTTACTGACTTCTGCCTTGTTTGTTTTAGGGGAAGGCGCACAGGTGTGTGCATCCACAATGCTGTGTGTGTGTGTGTGTGTGTGTGTGTGTGTGAAGAAATCATGCATAGTCAAATGTTACCGACGAACAAAGGAACGTGCTTTAAATAGGACGCAGGAAAAGGAGCCAATGTTCTTAAACTCTGTTCCTATCTTCATGTCTTCCACCATGTGTCAGGTTTTAAATGGAAAAAGAAAGAAGTGTAACTGCTTAAGAACTGATTATAAACACAGGCGACATAGGATTTTCATTTTGCAAGAAAAAAGTAGCAAGGGAAGCTAATGGTTCCTGTCTTTAAAGAAATAAACAGAACAGCATCACCAATCCTTGTCTCATGGATCCCGGGCTAGCCTCCAACTCTGGGTCTGAGGATGACTCTGAACTCCTGATCTTTCTTCTACCTCCCAAATGCTGGGCTGTGTAACACACCTAGCTCATATAGTGCAGGGGGCTGAAACCAGGGCCTCGTGCATATGAGGCAAGCATTCTACCAACTGGGCTACATCCCCAGTCCACCTAATGAACCTTTAAAGACTTCTTTCCCCCTACATGTAAGTATTTTTGAGATAAAATTAAACTCCTTCATATTCAGATCTCAAGCATCCCCTTAAAAAAGTCATTACTGGGATAAGGATTAACCTCCACCCACAGCCAGCTGCAGTGGGACATTCCCGTAGTCCTAGCTATTTGGGAGGCTGAGGCTGGAGGATTACTGGAGCCCAGGAGTTCAGCAATGTACAGTTCTTCAGTGATGGTTTAAATGTGCTGGGGACCTGTGGCTCCTCCTCTGAAGGGCTTAGCTGCCTTTGGAGTGTCGTTACAGATGGCTTATTTTAAAAAGAAGCTACAACGAGGACCACTTATCCCACTAAAGGAATGTCTTCACTTCTTACGTCTCTATTGGCTATTTCCATTTCATACATAGGGCATCTAGTTCAGAAAGGCATATGTTATCCAGCGTGACACAGGAGCTGGTCACAGAACCTGGACTGTGCTCTTAAACTTCCAATCTTTAATCTCATAGAGTATGATAACAACTCCTCCCTGCTTATCAGCTCCAGGGATGTCATTTAAAGACAAATCAATACTCATCTTTCTTTTCTTATTTTCATTCATACACACACACATACAATTTAATTTTTGAGGTAGGTTTTGAATATACCAGGCCAGTCTTGGACTTACTATGTAGACTTCTAATCCTCTGCCTCTGCTTCCCCAGAGCTGGGATTGTAGGCATGACCAACCACACTTGGTTTATGCAGGGCTGGGGTTTGAACCTAGGGTTCAAACCTTTGTGCATATTAGATAAGCACTCCACCAAACTGAGTTACATTTCCAACTCCAAGAAACAATTTTGAGCATACGATATAGGCGACCAGAATGCTCTGTCATTTACACAACGCCATGTTTTTCCTACATCTCTCTTATTCACTGCAGAAGAACACCAGCCCCGCAGGGAAACTGCATAGTGTAATCTGTGTTAACACTCTGAAGTCTAAAGACTGAAAATGGGAATAAACTACTTTAACCAACCCCTGCTCTCCATTTACCATAGGATGGCACCAACTTTGAGCATGAAAATAAACCTCTCAGAAAATTTATGGTGGTCTGGCTTCTGCATCTACTTTCTATTGCTGCAAAGTGCCACAGGAACTCGTGTGTGTGTGTGTGTGTGTGTGTGTGGTGTTCCTACATGTACACACACACACACACACACACACACACACACACACACACTCCCTCAATCCATTTAGCAAGAAAGGCTAGGACTATACAAGCTAGGGTAGCAATCCAGACTGATTCTGGGTCTGGAAAAGGGTTAGCAGGTGTCAGGGAAGACTCAGTGGAATGCCACCCGAGAATGAGCGTGCTCAGGGCATGATGCATGAAAGATGTGTGTGCCGATTAGCACGTGAGGACTGAAGTGTGAGCTGCAACTGCTGTCCAATCAAATCAAATGCAATGGCCTGCAGTACTTCTTATCAGAATAAGATGTCAAAAACTTAGGAAACAAAAAAATTAGTTTCAGACTTCTTTTATACTTCATGTGACTGGAACACAGGATTCTTCTGGTCCTAAAAAGGGCTCTACTTCCTACATGTTAAAGACATGCCAGTTTCATAGGCTTTGCTTTGGGCTTAGATTCCTTGTGCCATATTAAAATGTAAGTGCACATTCTCAGGATTTTAACTAATACAGTATGAGGTTTTTGACTGAGAAACTAAATCATACTAAAATGATTCCAATCTAGCAATCTGGCTGCATTAATCTAACTCAATGCAAATAATCTAAGGTGAAATTTTTAATTAAGCACAGGTAAGATTTCAACGCTATTGAAATCACTGTATATGTTTTAACAGACACAAAAGTTAAACAGCACAGGTTTGAAAATAAACGTGTAAACATCTGCTTACAGCTTAACCTAAGTAGCTGTAAAGTGTACATTTCTTCTGTTTTTGTTTTTGTTTATTTTTTTTGGTTTTTCAAGACAGGGTTTCTCTGTAGCTTTGGAGCCTGTCCTGGAACTCCCTTTGTAGACCAGGCTGGCCTCAAACTCACAGAGATCCGCCTGCCTCTGCCTCCCGAGTGCTGGGATTAGAGGCGTGCGCCACTACCGCCCGGCCATTTCTTCTAATGCTTAATGCAACACCACATTCTGAAAAAAATCACACACTGGAAATAAGAGGGTCTATTCAAGGGTAGGGCAGAACACTCAACTTCTTTGCCAGTGTACTAATAAAAATAGTAACAACGCAAACATTGCATTCTTTAAGAAAAAAATAATACTAAGGTATAAAGGACTCCACTTGCAAAGAGGCTGCAGAAAGTCTGAAGAGCTGCACTGGAAGCCGGAAGCTGCAGGACACTGGGGCCAAGGCAGGCTGTGCATGGCTGCGGAGCCCAGCAACTGAATCTTCCCAGGATGGAAGCAAGGCACAAGGTGGGAGGCTTCCCCACCACGGCGGGCTACTGCAGCACCACTGTGTTTTGTCTCTTTGGAGACAGTGTGCCGGAAATACTCTGCATACATCAACATGAAGTCTGCCCACACGGCCAGTTTGTCTCTAAGCCATTTCCACCAAAGAAGCACATTGCCCTGGAACAGACTTCAGTCATCAGTGTTTGTTCCTAGGGCTCTCAGGGGGAATGGGTATAAATTGAGGAAGAATTCCATGCTTTTTAGGTTCCTTTGCTATTTTTTTAGGCCTCTATTTCTGAATCAGTTGCAATATCTCTAGTTCCATGAAAAAAAAACTAAATAAATTTGAACTGTGAATTTTGCTTCTCTCTTGAATTTGATCTCTCGATTGTTTTAATATTTAATCTGTGAGACTCATTTTAAAATTACAAATTTTAAAATGACTTTTATTATGAAAATCTAAGCACGCAAAAAGCAATGTCTCTATATTCTATGACTGGGATCAAAACCCATCACTTCCAGTCATATTTAACAGTATTGCTGTCCACAAACCTTCACTTGCTTTTGAAGCAAAGCCAGGACCAGCTATCATTTTATCCATGACTATCTCCATATGCATCCAAGAGTATCTTCTTAAAGCTGATCTTTGTGGGGAAAAGACATTAGCTACCGATGCTTACAAGTGACAACCGCATGAAGGCCTAGGATTGGAATTTTTTCAGTCTTATTGTGACGGCCCTGGGAGGATACACTAAGATTCTTCTAATGAAGTATAGCATCTGCCTGCTTCTCTGTTGGACAGAAAGGTAGCAGAGTCGACACTAAGAGCCATGGCAGACTGTCTGGGTTCACATCCAGTCCCACCAGGGCCCCAGGCCATGGGGCCTTGACTCATCTTTAATCTGTGTGTGCCTGGGCTCTCCATCTGTGAGCCGAGGGTGAGCTCAGCTCCTCTATCCAAGAGTTAGTAGAAAGTGCTCGAAACACAGCCTCACATAGAGTACTGTGTTAGCTGTTCTTACGAGGCACAATGGTGGTGATTAAAAGCAAAAGAACAAAATTGCCTTTTGAGTCAAGAATGCCAAGGAGTTCTGTTAAAGGAAGGAAGAGTTGATGATAATCACTTGATCCAGAAGTCGAGCTGTAGAGGTGTCATCATGGGGCTTCTGGGGCTGCAGGCTCGGCAGTTCCCTGCCGCTGTGTAAGGCTTTTGGCTACGCCAAGTTTTCAAAACCCCAAAGCGAACAGGTAAAACTTCAGAAGTTTGAACAATAACACAAGTACCTTGGCATCGGCTTCCCAACACTGATGTAACAGCTCAGCAAAGCTCCTAGGGCAGCTGCTCGGAATGGTTAATCTCTACAAAGAGAAGGCAAACAGAAGAAGAAACAAGGCTTTACTCTTCGGGACAAGGAAGTGCCCTTTGCAGAATCATCAAAGAACTAATTTAGAAACCCAAACAAGACACGGGATCTAAAGCATCCCTGGATTCATAGATGACAGGAAGATTGATGCACAGATTTGTCCTGTCCAATCTCCGAAGGACCCCACTTGCACACATGGAAATCATGGACGATGGATGGAAAGGTCAGGTTCGTCATTAGGAAGAAACTACAGCCGGAGAGGGGCAAGCTGGAACATAATGCTACATCATCTAACACCACCAATTTATTGCTCTGTTTTTATAGGCGACTTGTGATTCCAGCTTACCAGCCCGGTAACTAGGAAACAAGTTGAGTTTTGGCAATAGGTGTGGAGCTCTGAAAACATCTTTGGCACAGAAGATCACTCCGCATTTGGGAAATGGTAATTCTGAGTGTGTCATTCAGAATACACGATTCATCATGGCTCTACCTTCGCGAGGATCAATTCTACTCTCACATCCCACCGTTCTGGTTCTCATAGACCATGGCACGTCCCTATTCCCAGAAGAATTTTTGTTTTCAAAGGCTTGAGGGGCCAATAACTCAGTGACAGCGACAGAAGGGCCTGGCATGGATGAGGCACTGAGTTTGATCCTCCACGCTATGAAAATAAATGATGACCAGACATCCTTCAATATACCATAAAAGCACCATATAATCAAGGACTCTCTTACAAGCCATCAAATTGCAAATGTTCCACGTGGGTCTACATTAGCCTAGTAAACAAAACGAAGTTTATATAATTTTCTGGACCTGGCCTCAAACTGAGTTACAAATAAACAGAAATATTTTTGAGCAGTTTCCAGATGCACCAGACTTCCCAAGAGTGCAACACCCACACACGAGAAATCAAAGGGCAGTGATCTTTGCATTATTCATAACCTAACTACGATTTTAAGGACTGTCACTAGCAACCATGCAGGTCTCGGAACTACTAAGTCATTAGCACCGCTTACTCTATCAGGCGGTCACTTATGGCCATTTCTGCACAAGGCTCAGCACCTTAAATGGCCCCATCATCTTGTCTAGCAAGATCTTGCCTGAGCATGTGTGTACTGCAGGATTTCCATTTATTCTTCGCATTACAGGGTTCCACTGACTTGAAGCATGGTGCCCATGGGCAAGCTGAGGCTTTCTGGCTTTCTTTTCAGCAGAGCAAGTTTATAACTATAGTTGTTAGGAAGAGAGCCCTGGGGTTGGAGATGCATCAGTGGCAGAGCAACGGGCGTGCAGGAAGTCCTGGACCGCATCTCCAGTACAGTGTGTGTGTGTGTGTGTGTAAAAAGACATACTACAGTGGCATGCATTTACCTGCATGCACTCTGTATAAACAGAGTGGGTTTCAGATGGACACACTTCAGCACAGCCTAACCTCAGTGGTTACCAAGGAAGCCACTGTCAACAGGCTTGGGTGTCCTTTGCTTCTCTTTTCTTACTGAGAAGCCTTTTTAGACACGACATTTCAAACATCACACGCAGAAAAAGTAATGTTTGATCTCTAACACTATCAAGTATTAGCTAATCACAGACTCAGACACATTGATGTGAGGGATTTTTTTTGGGTGTCTAAAAAAGTACTTCCAAATAGAATCTGAAGTATTTATGTCCTGATCACACAACTTTAATGCGATCCTAATGATTCCAAACATCTCGAAATGGCCAGATACTATATGGAGCATTACTTACGGTTTAGATGTTTTGGAATAAAGGCTTCATGTTTATAAGAAGAGTACCTACTAATTTAGAGTAATCAAATTAGGTGGGGGCATTTTTTAAAAAAATATTTCTTGTATCATTTTACACATGAGATGTGAAAACAACTACGTTTTTATTTTTCTGAAGTTCAAGAGTAGTAAATGAAAATTTAAGTTTAAAAAATTTGTAGATAAACATATTTTAATTAATTAATTAATTGTGTGTGGGTGTGAATGTGGGGGAGCATGTGTGCATGTACAAACACACAGCTGTGCTGTGGTGTGCACGGGGAGGTGAGGAGACAGTTTGAGGAAGTAGTCTCTCTTCTACCATGTGGGTCCCAGGAACTGAACTTAGGTTGTTAGGTGTGGTAGCAAATATCTTTACTTGCTGGTCCCAATGAAATTTTTAGTTTTATTAAGATTTTTTTACACTAATTAATTTGCTATTTACAACAAAACACATTTTATGCAAGAATCCAAGTGTTTATAAATGTAGAAATTATACCCTAAAATTTTCTGAAGGCCCACTGCTTTTCATGGAAACCCTATATTAAAAACCGTGTCTTAGCAATGCTCTCATAAGCTCACGCCTTCTGTAAGGTTCACTGCTTACTTTGTAAGGCGTAACAAGGGTTTATGAGTCTATTCCTAATAGAAGTTAACGTCAGGGAAAATGATGAGTCAAAAGCCTTATCCATAAGAGTCAGAGGCAAAGATCCTCAGATACGATGTTAGCGTGATTGTCATACAGATCTGTGTGGAGGAAGAGATGACTGCCACCTGGGTAAGAGTCTGTCCCCATCCTCACTGCCCAGCTCGGTGCCACTGCAGCCATATAAGGGATTAGCAGTGGGGAAGCTGGGAACACTGGATTCTCTGTAATATTTTTACAGACTTTTAGGAGTCCATAATTATTTCAAAATAAAAAGCTCTTTAAAAAAGCAGCCCTACTAATTGGCTGTAGATGTTATACAATGACTAGACAGTCCACACTATCAATTCCTCCTTGGCAGTTTAAACGCCATTCTTATTTAAATGAAGACGTGAAAATATGGGAACCTTCCTCCAACCCAATAACTGAAAGTATTCAACAGTAAAGATAAAAAAATTATTGGAGGCTGAAGAGGTTTTATGAGTTACGCTTCTTGAGGTCTCGGGTTTGTTCTTACGTGAACTCAATCTCTGGGAATTGCCTTAACACTGTGTGAGCGGAATTTGTTTGGATAGTCAGTGCCTCTAAGGTGGTGGGATGAAGAAACCTTCTGGAACGGCAACACTGGAAATCCCATCTAGGCTTAATTTCCACATTGTTTTTTCTTTGACAAGTAAGTGCTGTGCAGATAATTATCCTTAATTCAACCGGTTTTTCTTCAATTCATTGGCAAGCTGAGAGAACTTTTGTCACCGTGTGGGTTCTCTCAACTTCCTACTTCAGTTAATGAACAGATCAGGAAGTCTTGGAGTCTCCCTCATCGCAGCACACCACGGTATGACCCAGGGGATCAGTAGGGGGCAGAAGGCAGTGGCTTCCTGCATGTGATGCTATAGAGTTCTGAGGGGTGTTAGTGGGGGCATCCCAACTCTCAGGCAGGACGGAAGCTGCCATTCCCTTCCCCTTTAAATACCCAATGCTTTGGAAATGCTTTGGACTGGACCTATTCTGCTTTTCTCTAGATTGAAAAAAATTATTGTGAAATACTAATTATTCTGTCAACTTTGGAGGATCTGGATGACTCTCTAAACTCCTCTCCTAATCTATCTTGTGTGGTGTAGAAATTGCTTCGAGGTCAGCTGAAGGCCAATGCTCTCTTCATTTGGATTCATCAACCTGAACGAAATACTCAACCATCTCTCTGGCAAAAGATACTGAACAGTGGATCTCGCGTCCCAAACCATTAGTTATCTTAACCGAACAGCACGTGGAAATAATGATTATCTAATTAAAACCTAACAGCTCTTGTGAAGCAATGAAGGAGGCCTGGCCTTATGTGGAAGTCCTTCCATCCCCTAGCCTGGCAGTCCTCTCCCACCAAATTCAGCCACCGCAATGTGCCGCCCTTTTCCAATGAGTCGGGAGGACAAATGAGCCAAATAGCTTGGGATCTGGGAGACAGAATCTTGGTTTCTTCTGGTCAACAGCGGCTTTCTGATTAACCTAGCATACTCCGTAGTCACTCAGGGTACAGATCAATCCAGTTCTGCTAACACGCTAAAAGGGGGCTATCTTTAAATATTCTTCTGGAGAATATTTTTTCCTTTGAGGTCTCTCTCAGCCTTTGTATACAGCTATGGAAATGAAGAAGTTCTGGGAAATCAGTTACTTTGCCTGGCAAGCACCAGCGTGCACGGCCGCAACACCATCTAAGTTCTCCTCACGCCGTGAGATGGGATGCTGCGTCCTTATGCTGTGCGATTTCCATGGCTGTGCGTTTCAGCGACAATTTGAAACCTTTCAAAATGTAGTTGCTCTCTTTGATATGGATGTGGCGTGTCCTCTGATGTAGGCTCATAGGTCCAACTAGCTGAAAGCCTCAATTTGTGGGAAGAAGAAAAGCGAGGCCGGGGACACAGCACAAACGGTGTTTACGCCACTGAAGTCCCTTTGAAATGGAACGACTCTGCATGAAGAAGCCAGCACTTGTACCACTGCCTCGCCAATTCCAGTGAGGAGCTCATCTTCAATGTAGTGCTCAACGTAGGTGGCAAAACTGTAATTTTTCCCCTTTTTGAAACTATTTTTTCTTCTTTTATTTTTGAAATTCTCATCTAAGCGACAGTTTCTTGTACTATAGTGACTCCTGCTGGGAGAGGTAAGTTGAAGTAGCTGAAGGTCTCTTACAGATATATCAACTCCCGGCCAGTAAAAAAGATGTCCTAAACGCAGGAGATGCAGTTAAACTGTTCCCCTACCTTGGACGCAATGGCTTCTTTCATCACTAAGAACAAACCCCCCGGTTTTACAATTGAGACTGAGAAACTAGTACAGTACTTGTACAATTTTTGATCTACAGCATCACGACGTGAAGCTGCAACAATTAGATGTAAAGGGGCCATTCATGAGGAATAACATCACTTTGACCCTTTGTGTTAGCTCCTACTGCTAATCTTTCCATAAGCGTGAACTTACTTTCAATTTGAAGAAGATGAAAAAGTCTTTTGCAAAACCCCAATACTGTTTTCTGATCTATGCACCTGAATGGAGAAACGGAGTCTTACCTCGTTTTTTTCCACTACAAGCCAAGCTACTTGCAATCCTTCCAAACCTTTAAAGGGGACCTCCCTTGTTAGCATCTCCCAGAGAACCTAGAACAAAAAGGAAATGGAATTTTTATTCTGGTACTTTATATTGGTATATTACTGAAAAATGTAGCTAGCATTTAATTGTATCCAATTACTAGACGTAGCCAACCATCTGTAGAAACTTAGACTATGTATGTATATATTCATACATAGGACTTTTACCATATGTTATATACTTTCATGTTCTTTGTATGTAAAGAAAAAAACTTGTCTTAGGAATTGGAATGTCTACACTTAAAATTTTATATTAGTGATTAAACTTGATCTTTACACTCTGTGGAATTTTCACATATTCCCAATTTTGTATTTTGTTAGAGAACAGTCTTTCTGCCTTGAGCCTCAGATACATTTTTTATTAGATAGTAACCAAAAATTCAACACAGTTTTAAAGGTTCAACAATGGCCACATTAAAAAAATCAAAGTCCCCAGTTCAAATCCCTAGCAAACTCCTCTGCCCCATACCAGAAGATAGTTTTAAATTATAACATTTGGACTTTGTGATTTGGACAAATTTCCCTCAGAATGAGTCAGTCTGAAGGATCCATTCCTGCATACACATATTATACCATATTCTCAAGTACGGTGCACATTTAGTACACATACATGCTGAATGTGTGCTGACTGTGTGCAGGAGTGAATATGGGCCCCCAACTGTGTGTAAAGCTCAAGGTGAGTGTGGACATGACCATCAACCGGATGCTAAGAAGAGCCAACTGGTGCTAGCATGGAGATCTGGGCTTCTCTCTAAATACTGAATAATGGGGATTTGAACACCCAACTGCCATCTCTTCTTATTCAAACAGACATCCAATTTTTTTTTTTTTGGAGACAGAGTCTGGCTATGTAGCTCAGGCTAGCCTTGAATTCATGATCCTCCTGCCTCAGCCTCCGAAGGGCTAGAAGTACAGGCATGTGTCACCATGCCAGGCTGACACCAAACATTTAGTCTACTAGTACTGGGCAAAGCACAGAATCAATTCTAATTTTGCTGATAATCATGATGTGACAACCACTATGATTTACTGAGTGCCTAATATGCTCCAAATCCCATCACATGTTTCACCTTGATCACAGTCAAGCCTCAGATACCATCCTTGATTTACAGGTGAGGAAATGGGTGTCTAGGAAAGTCAGATGAACTTGCCTACAGACACCCAGCCACCAAATGGGACAGCAGGGACACACACTGTTTTCTTACTTGGAGGCTGTGCTCTCATTCCATGTAATTCTAGGGCTGGGGAAAGCCCGGTGGTCGACAGAACACACCAGGCTCTGATGTAGGCATGGGACAAGGCAAACTCAGGGCGACAACTCTGCAAGGTAGGCTTTGCTCTCCCTGGCTGCAACTCCAAAGTCTGTTTCTACACAGGAGTCTAGATTGACGGCACGGCTCAATTTGAGTAAGTCCTGTAAGCCTTTAACCGTATAGCCATTATATCCCCAGCCAGCCTGCTGCCGTCCTGTTCAAGCTATAACATGTCAAATGAATGCTGGCTAATACGAAGATAATTAGCAGGAAAATCAGGGAAATTGGCAGATGCTCCTCAAGAGTGAGGGGGAAAAAAGTCCCTGAAGTCTCTTTGGGCTTTTAATCAAGAGCGTAAGGTACTTCTTCAGAAAAACTACTGCGTAATTCCATTTGAGTCGCTCAAGCGATTAGGAAAAGGTAAGGGGCTACCCTGGAAGTCTAGTGCTGGCTGGGAGGGAGGGTGAGAGTCAGCACAGGGAGTAGTCACCCTGGCGCCCCGCCTCCGCAGGGGAGAGGGCAGAGCTAGGCTGAGCGGGAAGTGAAGTCCCTCACTTTGCTGTGATGGCCACACTCTGTTGGTACTGGGGACAGAGGGGGAAAGGAGGTGACGAGTGGGAAAATTGATCGATTGGGCATTGGCTGAGGGGGAGGGAAACAAGGAGGCAGCGTCAAAGAAACCAAAGGCTCCAGCCCCCCCCCCCCAAAAAAAACCACTCAGGTGAACCTTTCAGGCCTCCCCCTTTCATAGTCTGGGGGAGGGCAAGCACAACTCATGCACAAATATGTGCCCACGTGTGGAATCTGCCTGCATTCTACAGAGCAAAATGCACCCCCCAGAGTCTGATGCAATAACATCAGAAGGCCACCTTTTCTTCGTTTTTTTTTTTTTTTTTTTCCAGACCAAAATACTTGCCTGGACAATAACAAAAGTCGAATAAATTAGGAGTTATAACCCTGAAACAACTGGACGGTGTCACTCTGCCTGTGTCTCTGAATAGATGCAACAGCCAAGGGAGGTGCTTGAGGGATTTAAAACTGGGGAGACTGAGGTGCTAACCGCCAGAAGCCTCCAGTTCTGGAACCTTCACGAGGCCTTCTATTTGGTTCCAGTATCAACGCCTCCCATGAACTCCCTTTATTAATTCCCCAGATTTGGGAATGCACCCAAATGAAAGCAGAATGAGCTAGGGTGGCTTTTTTCTGCATTCAATAAAAATGACATTTGGCAAAAAAAAAAAAAAGTAAGTTTGTTGAGGAAGTCACTTGGAGGTCTAAAAATACATGAAGCCGATGCCTTAAAATACCAGTTCCAAGGACGCAGGCCAAACACGGCTGTGAGCTTTCACCTCCAGAATATTTTCCAACTCATTGTATACTAAGACGTCCTCCCAGCTAAACTGCACTCACAAGGAGAATTTCTATTTTCAGTTTACAGAGCAGAAACTTGGATGAGACTGTATATTTCTGCCTTTTCTCTCACAAACAATAGGAAGCCATTACCTGAGCCCGGCTGGTTCTGGAACAGGGCTCCAGACAAGTCTCAGAGGCTGCCCCTTTAGCTAGTCCAGTCCAAAGCTGGCTTTGGCTGGAAGTTCCTGGGAAGGTAACCCTGGCCACTGGGGAGGGCGACGGGCCGTGGGGTCTCCCCAGGCTGTCCTTTCAGCCATCTGGGCTCTTTTTCTTAGCCGGTCATACTCTAAACCTACTCCCAATCTTTCAGGAGACACTCTCTTGGGGATGTACAAACATCTCCTCTCTTGTAAAATGAGGAAAGGACAATTGCCTGCCTAGCACTGCTTGGAAACAAGAAGTTTCTCGGAAGGCAGGGCAAGGCTAGTTAGTCTTGCCACGTGTTAAGAAGCAACACAAAATTACCAATCCGAGAAAGACGAAAAGCAAAAACCTATCTTGGCTTTTTGGGGTGAGTTTCAAAAACCAACTCTTCGATGGCTGTGCTCTTCATGAACTATGGGATATTTTATGTTAGAATGATGCTTTTCCTTTATATATATATAAGTATGTATATATTAGGTTGATGTAATTTTTAAACTTTGAGGATTGCAAGCTCCTATGCCCAAAATGGCCACAATTGGAACAACTACCCTTTCTCTCTGGTGTCCAACCCACTGGGAACTCATAATGGCTTTTCAGGTTTGTTTGTTTACAACAAAGGGTTCTGGAGAGCAAGCCTTGGCTTTTCCCTGTCACTGATGACGCTTATTTAGAATGAACAGAAAGAGAAGGGGCAGTGTTAGATGCAATCCCGAATGCTTATCATTCAATCAGCACAAGCGCACTTCCCTGGAGTTCTCTGTGAGGCTCGCCGGCCTTCTCGGTCAAACCTCACTTAAAGAGAAACTAATGGCAGAAGATGATTTTCCCTTCACTTATTTTAGCATGGCACGCATGCGGAGGTCAGACGAGAACTCGTGAGAATCTGCTGTCTCTTAGGGATTAAACTCCTCAGACTTGCCAGCAAATACTTTGACCCACACAGTGACATTTCTCGGGGCCAGAAGCTGACTTTGTTGTTGTCTTGAGATTTATATTTACTTTTATTGTATGTTACATTTGCTTAAAGGTATGTCTGTATCTGACATGTGTGCAGTGCCTGCAGAGGCCAGAAGAGGGCATCGGATCCCCTGGGACTGGAGTTACAGAGAGTTGTCAACATCCGTGTGGGTACTGGAAAGTGAACTGAGGTCCTCGGAAGGAGCAGCCACCTCTTAGCCCCCTAGAAGCTGTTTTTAAAAAGACACGGAAACATTTCTGTTTCAGGAACTCAAGGGCAGGAAGGCTCTTGGATGAGTTTGGAATTAACATTGATAGAGCCAGGGGACTGGATAGCCAGGTTCTCCACCACACCTGGTGTGTGGTGTAGTGTAGTCCTGGCAGCGCGGGTATTTTAGGAAACGGTCTGTGAAGTCCCTGTTAAGTCCCTTCCTCAGCCAGCAGGACAGCCCATGTCTTTAATACCAGAGGTTAGGTAACAGGCAGATCTCTGTGAGTTCCAGGCCAGCCTAGCCTCCACAGGAAATTCCAGGTCAGCCAGAGCTACACAGTGAGCTTTTGACTTAAAAACAAAAGAGAACAAAACCATCCTTTCCCCCAAGAAAGCCGAAGCAAGGCAGGCAAAGGTAGGGGTGGTACACATACAGACATGCAGAGACCCTTCTCTCAAAAGTGGCACGTAGTCTCTGGAGTGAAAGGTTTTTACAACAGATGGAAAACCCACTGCACCAGAAAGATGGATTCAGACTGTGCTTAAGGAAGTGATCAGTGAGACCTGCCACAGGGATTTAAAGACGCGGGAGAGATCCTTAGCTGGGTATCAGAAGTCATGGCTCAGCAACTATGGTTTCCAAGGCAAAGGCATCAGTTCCTGGCTACAGGTACCGAGAGGGCACAGTCTTAAGGAAAAGGAAGAATGGTGTTTCACACAAAGCCCAGGCATCTGGAAGCATTCGAAAGAAAGCGACACAGAGCTTATTTTCATAAATGCAATAATATTGAAACTAAACCTTCATTCTATACATAACTCATAGCTGTGAGTTTAGGTCAAAAATTTCTAATAGGGAAATTCCAAGGCTTGGGGAAAGTTGTCAAAGTAAATACAATACGTGGATTGTGGGAGTAGAAAATAAACCTCAAAACCCATCTGATGAACAAAACGGTGCAAGCTACTTTAAAGCCACGGCTGCCTAAATATGGTTTTCTCTTTTTATACACTCCTGCACATGCGAGGAAAGTCACATGATCAGCTGGACCATGGCCAAATGACCCACGTATGTCAGCCACTCTGCTGTCTTCCCGAATCCCCTTGCTGCATAGAGGGCTCTGCAGAGTATGGCCCTGCTGCAAAGCACAAAGTGGTTCTGCCTGTTAAGGAGCTGGGAAGCAGCCTCAGCTGCCAGGTGTAAGCAGTCCTCAAAGACAAAGCCATGGCTGCCTGGTCCCTTATAGAAAACACACTGGCTTCTGTTCAACAGCATGAAATGAGATACCGGTACTGTCAAACACGCTATGTAAAATGTAGTCAAACGTGCTATGTAATATGTATACCGTCCAGCCCACAGACTAACTCAATAAGCGATCATTTTCCCTAAAGTAAAGGAACGTGACTTGGTAAAAGAAAACAATTTCACAAAAGGTTTAATTTTTTTCCTTCTGTAGGTTGGGGATTGAAGAATTGAACCTAGGGCATATTGCTAGGCAAGTGTACCAGTACCCAGCTAAGCCCTAGCACAAAAAGTCTTAAATTGCAACAAAGCTCCCATTTTCGGAATTTCTAGATGAGTGTGAGATAATAATTCCTGTTACAGAAGGCAGCTTCAGAAGCTGGTGCCCTCCGGAACAGTTATTCTGTTTCTTCAGAAGCTGGTGCCCTCCGGAACAGTTATTCTCTTTCTCCCCTTCTTTCATGGAGAAATACTTTTTCATTCTCAGTAGTAATGTGGTTTTTATTCTTAGAAACATTCAGAACTAAGGGGAATTAGCTACTTGAAGTGGTTACTATTGCCATCCTTTAACCTTCAAAACCCTAGATTTGCTGGGCCTGATGGTGCATGCCTTTAATCCCAGCATTTGAGAGGCAGAGGCAGGCGGATCTCTATGAATTCCAGGACAGCCAGGGTTGTTACACCAAAAAACCCTGCCTTGGAAAACAAAACAAAACAAAACCAAACCCCTAGACTTTAGGCAAAAATACATAATCTATTCTTGAAACTGTTTTCAATAGCCAACAAAAGTCACCTGTGCATAAGAGGTTCATGACTTAGGAAGCACTAGCCAGCTGGAAAGGCCCACATGGAAGGAAGCCAGCAGACTGATCAGAGAACGGGGTGTCCCTGAAAAGTGTCCTTCTCTGGTCATTACCTCCCACCTCAGGTAAAAGGGTGTGCAGAGGGGGCGTGAGCTGTTCCTGACAACCAGTGTCTCTTCTCTGCAAGGTAAGGGGAAGTAGCATCTGTGGCACAGCTGGAAATATGACCTAGAGAAGAAGCATTCCCCATGATGCTCTGGGCTTTTTTCCCCCTTTACAACATTTTAAGGAAAGCATCTTTAAAAGGGGGGCCACAAAGAATTCCTTCCTGCAGCAGGAGCTACCCTAGTAGAAGCCTTTCCCTACTACACGATCCTTCCTTATCTGTCCCCCCATTCTACCCTTGCTCCCATCTGTCAGCTCACGTAGCAACGTCAACACTTGTTTTTGTAGGGTGTGCAGCAGATCTGGACAAGGTTATATGGCTTAACTACATGGCCTTTTGTAGTTTGGGAAATGCATAAGTGTGGCTCACTTAGCAGCTACTGGTGGTCACACACCGTGTGGGCAATCTATTACAATCAAGTGTACTGCAAGAGACCCTCAGTGTCAGTGAATTACACAGCTCTTCTGCCCTGTTCCCACTCCTCACAGCAGCATCCCGGGGAGCGGGCAGCACTGATCGGGTTCTGGATTACTTGCTTCTTGGAAGTAGTGATGGTTCTTCTCAGTGCGGGACAGAAGTGATCAAGCCACACATCAGACAGCTAGAAAGCTCTGTCCCTATGCCGCCACCGTAGATGATCCTCCTGTCTGAGACACAAGCTAAACTTTGGCCCACTTTCTTCTCTAGGCTGTTTGCCCTTCCTATGTCCTTTGGAAAACAAAGAAATAAGAAACACACTCACCACACCATAGGAATATGTGTCACAGGTTTCAGACACAGGGAGACTCTGGATAACTTCTGGAGCCATCCATGGGAAAGTTCCAACCAAGGACATGTGTGTGGTGTGGTTATGGAATCGAGAGGCACCGAAGTCACAGATCTGAGGACACAGGAACCAATGTTAGCCTTCTACCCAGCACTGATGAGAGATGATTGGTCACAAGACCTCCATCAGAAATGAACAACTTTCTCCAAAGTAAAAGATTCGGCCCTACCTTCAGGACTCCATCAGCAGCAATAACAACTACAAGAGAACAGAGAGGAATTAGGATAATCATTTTGTCTGAATTGTCTTACACTGAAGAGAAGCAGAGCTTCACATTTCTAAGTTTGATATTACTGCATTTCTAACTTCACATTATAATCCGGGTATGGTGGTGTGTCCCTGTAATCCCAGGCTGAGGCAGGGGGACGATCATGAGTTTGAGGCCAGCCTGGGCTATAGAGCAAGAACCAAACCTGTCAGGGATATAAAACAAGACTCTGTTCTAAACACACACACACACACACACACACACACACACACACACACACACTCTGTTCTAAACACACACACACACACAGAGAGAGAGAGAGAGAGAGACACTGAGATACACTCAGACAGAGAGAATTTTATATTATAAAGGGTAAGATGAAAATATTTGCTGCATCTGAGAGTTTGTATGAGGGAGGAAATATTTTTTAAAAGCTTAATTCCAAGAGGTGCTGCTCTGAGTGGCTTTTAAGACACTTGCTTCACACAGATGCAGTGAGGGTAAGCCAAAGCAGCTGCACCGCACTCGCCAAGAAAGGGGATGTAGGAATGGCTTTTTCAGGCAGGAGGGGTGGGGAAGAAGGTCAGTCTGGAAACAATACATTTTAAACTCATGCAAAATATCTATGCAAGTATTTCTGGTAAACAGTTTCAAGGCTGACATTAACCTGGGAGTGTTGACACGGCGGGGGGGGGGGGGGGGGGAGGAGAGGGAAGCTGTTACGGGAGAGGGAAAACCATCGAGGCCTGAGCACGATAGATCATCAATGCAGCAGCTGTTCCTCCTAGTGATTTTGGTAACCGGAGAAAGGATTCTGTGTGATCTAATCCATAAAAATAGCCTCAAAGTAAATGTGGGATTGGGAGGCATGAGCTGCATGCTTTTATAAATAAAAATGTAAATAAATATTACTATTCTATCTGCTCCCTATTCCTCCTTCTTAATGTGAGATTAACAAGGGCTCATTTACAAAATCACATTATAAAAATACTTCCTTTGGGGGCTGGAGAGATGGTTCCCTGGGGACAAAAGAACTTGTCATGCAACCAGGTGACCTGAGTTGGACCCCAGAGACCCATATAAAGGCGGAAGGAGAGAACCTGACTCCACAGAGTTGACCCTGCCTTTCAAAGGCACATCATTGCATGCGCGTGTATGCAAATACGCACCAGACATGCATGCACACTAATAATGTGTTTTTATTTTTATTAGATTTATTTACTTATTTTATGTATGTGTATAGGTGTGTGGGTGCATCTAGGCCACGGGAAGCACATGGAGGTCAGAGAACAGCTTGTGTGTGGGGGGGTCAGTCCTCTCTTCCTAATGTGTGGTTTCTGGGGACTGAACTCAGGTTGTCTGGCTTGGTGGTAAGGGCCTCTACTCACGGAGCCATCTTGCTAGCCCATAACTTAAGCTTTCAAAAAACACTACAGAAAATGAAGTCTCTCTCTCCTCCCAGTAAAAATAAATTGCCAGCGTTAGGCTGATATTCTTTTCTTGCTAATGTTTCCTATTAGCTACAGAACTTGTAATTTTTTTTTTTTTAAATGAGGAATTCGCCATCATTGTATAGCCTTCATGGGCTTAAAAAAATCAGAGATTAATAGTACAAACTGAAATTTTGGTCACAAAAGTCTGCTATTTCCTATCTGGTTAGAGATTATTTTCCATTAACTTCCTGTCAGCTAGCTCTGTATCACAACTATGTCTGTCTCAGAAGAACCAAAGAGCAAGTGAGGACGGAAAGGGAGTGACAGTCAGCCGAGCCAGCCAACCAGGTTAGGAGGGGCCAGCTTGGATTCCTGATGGTGGCAGCTGCCTACAACTTCCTGTCCTTCCTGCCTACCACCTGTCAGACCCAGGCCTGGAGGTCCCGAGTGTGAGCAGCGCCCCTGGGGCTCTGCCCAGGCTCCTCTTGCCCGCTTGCTGTCATCGCCCATTCTCAGGACCACACGGCTGGTAAATTCCTGTTTTAGCTGCAGCGATCTTAAATTCCTAAAACTAAATGCTTTTCTGCCTACCAAGAGCCACTGAAGAGTGCAGAAATAACCGATAGCAAGCAAGGGCTGCTTTCTTTCCTCTCTTAAGCAGAACCCTCGGACGCTTATTTAGCTCTGCTAAGTAAACAGTCCTCCTGTCTTTCTGCTAGCTCTGAGGTGACGTCATGGAAGAAGGTAGCATCTAATCCTGGGAGCTATTTTAAGGAGCTCGCTTTCCAAACGATAAGTATAGGGCTCATAAAGTATAGAAAGCCCAGAAAAGAGAAAGAAAAAAAAGGAATGCCTCTACATTCTGAACTCTCAAGCATGCTGGTTATCTTTGGGCGCTAGCTACTTCAGGTAACATGGGCATGAGTGACCAAAAGATGCAAACCATTGGAATTCAGAAATAAAACTCAAAGTTGCTGGCAGAAGGAAGGATCTAAAAATAGGAGGCTTAAAATACACGACTACACACTCTGACCTGGTGGTGCAGATTTTAGAAAAGGACCCTAAGCAAATAATTAGAGATGTGTTTTTTTTCTTAACAAAAAACAAAAATAAAAAAAAACTTGGCCAAAAGGCATTAAACATTTCTTATTTTAGATAAAAACAAAAAACAAAACAAGCCAAACAAAGAAAGGAAACGAGGAGCATAAGCAAATGCAGTAGGCTCCATCCTGTGTTAGACTCGCCCAGAGCATTAGGCAAACCTCAAATAACACACAGACGTCGATCTCTGCTGACAGTGAAAATGTTTCCAGGGTAGTGCAGACCACCCACGAGCTACAAAGCCATGGGAAGCATCGTGCTGGTTATTTCCTGGTGCCAGTGAACTGGGTAAAGTAGCAAGGTCAGACGGTGTGACCACTTACCGTTTCTTGACTTGAGATCTCTGTGGATCACCTTGACTGGAGCCTCCATGTGTAAGTAGTGCATCCCTTTCGTACAAGAGGGGAAGAGGGTTAGTGGTTTGCAGTATCACATCAGTAGGAACGTTCAGAACTTTGCAAAGAAATCCACAGCAGAGAATACGCCCATGTGTTCTGCCCGTCCAGGCCCCACAGAAGAAGAACCACCTCTGCCCACATTAGTGGCAGTTTCTCTAGCAAGGCCAATGCGGATCTCTACTGTGGATCATCTTATTTCTTACAGTACCTAAGAAAGTCACCATCATTTTCTCAGATCTGCAGCAAAATGACCAAGATGGCCTCTGAGCACCCACTGCCAGGTACATGCTACGTCTGCCCAAGCTGAGGCTCCTCGTCTCTCACCTGGACGTCTGCAGCTTGAGCTGCAGTGACATTATTCTCCAAGACCTGAGCTTGAAGACAGAATGGGTGGCCAGCAGGCCCACTGGTGGATAAGGGTGCTGTGGTCTCCTAGTAGATGTACAATGCTTACATCTAAAGATAGGTTTTTCTCACAAGAATAAATCTCCAAATTCACTCTGATCTATTTATAATATGAATTAAGGTACTCTATATACTGCGTGAATCAAATGTCAATAATTTCATTATTTTGAATGAGAAATTATACTTTATGATATATTTCATGGTTATCCCCTTAAAAGTATTTGGTCTTTTTTTTTTTTTGCCAAAAACAGAAAATAGAGGGAAAAATAAATTTTCTACACAGTATTTCTGAAACAGTCCTTTCTACATCAAATCAAACAGGACCTTTTTTTTTTTTGATGAGATGCTCATGAAAGTAATTTATTAAGTACATTTGGGTTTTTTTTAAGTACACAGAACATTACAATTTTATAAAGATGAATTTATTAATAGCTATTCTTCTACTACTCTGGTTATTCCATACGGAGGCATCAAAAGAACAAAGAAAATAAGAAAAGAGTTTCAGCTCTTGTTACATAATGATATCACTGAAAAGAATCAAGTTAGCAGAAGTATTAGTAGCTTAAACGATCTTAACCCATGTAACTGGGATAAAGGGTCTCATTTAATAGCAAGTTCCACATAGTCAAACTGCAGAGCTCCTTGTGTGGCACTTCACAGTCTATACGCCTGAACTTCACAGTCACGCCCTCCTTGCTTTAAAATTAAATCTCCAAATAATTTTCAGGTAGAGTCTATTTGACTATGATTAGGAGGAGGAACAGATGGTTTTTATACTTGCTGACAGAATTTCAAAGGGGACGATTTGACTAGAAAAAATTTAAAATATAGGCATTTTTTTACTCCATGTCAGATTATCAGAAGAAAAAGTCTAATAAGTTATTGGTGCACAGAGCATAGTAGTGGTCAACTCTGGAAACTCAGGAACATCTCATTATGTAATCAGAAAACTCAATTATTTTGTAGTCACTTGCTTTGTTTTTATTGCAAAACCATTGAAAAGGGCTGAAAAATACTTTCATCTGGTTTAACTATCTGTGAATTCTCTCTCCTTGTGGGGGGCCCGAGACAGGGTTTCTCTTTGTAACATCTCTGATTGCCCTGTAACTTACTCTGTAGACCAGGCTGGCCTCAAACTCAGAGATCTGTCTGCCTCTGCCTCCTGAGTGCTGGGAGTAAAGGCGTGCGCCACCACAGGGCATATTTGTGAATTCTTAATAAGATCTGACAGGTACCAGGGAGGCTTGGGGGACTTGGGATGGAGGCAGCATTCGAGTCCGCGCCCTAATTGTCCCTCACATACAACTGCGGATGCACATGCCTGCCCGCTCCCCTTCCTCCTCCTTCTGGGAGGGAAGAGCACCCTGGCAGCTTTGAGTGCAGCTCCCAACAGCAAAGACGTTGAGCAACGCCTATTTCCAAATGTGTGAGTCAACTCTCAGGATGAATTATTCATTCTCTGATGTCTCAACATGTTATTGCTTCAGTGGCTTCAATCATGGTGAACCCAAAAGGCTCACAGGCTGAATTAGAAACAGCACCAAACAGAGCCAAGCCTTGGTATTTAAAATTTACACTTAGCTGTAGGGGACAGGGTTGAAGTCGATCTTAAAGTAGGGGTTCCATCTTCCTTTTTCAGACCATCTGGAATAATTCCTACATATTGCATATCACTTAGGATTATGAGTAAATGGGTCCATTTTCTGGGGCCAAACACATGGGAATTTATCTTTTCGATTCATTCTCTAATTGGGCAAGGAGGTTTTATTAGCTTGGGACCGGGACTCTCCCCACCTTCATTTCCCTGGATCTCTGCTTTCATTGTGCTACTTAACTCTGCTCCTTTTCTTCCCTGTTCTTCTGCAGTGGAGAAGCAGCTCTCCTGAGAAACTCAAAATAACAGTGCTACTCTGGAGCCAAGAGAGGTGGCCCTCAGGCAGGACCATGTGACAGAGGGCCAAGTGGGTGCTGCAGCTGGAATGGGGGACTGTAAGGCAGAGGGAGCACAGCTGGAAGCTGCCACTTGATTTGTTTGCTGCCTATCCACCCTAAGTACCACTAAGTCATAACAGGAGTGTAATTAACTGAGCACCCAAAACATAACGTCAGTAGAGTGCAATAAGGACTGTGTGTGTTTCCATCCGTGTAGGCACATTTCCACAATGCTGCAGGCAACCGCCAGCATCACCATGGCCTTGCCTACTCGCAGGTGCGCCGCGTGTACTATGGACACTCACGGGTGCTCCTTGTGTACTATGGACACTCACGGGTGCTCCTTGCGTACTACGGACACTCATGGGTGCTCCTTGTGTACTACGGACACTCACGGGTGCTCCTCGTGTACTATGGACACTCACGGGTGCTCCTCGTGTACTATGGACACTCACGGGTGTTCCTTGAGTACTATGGACATTTAGAGAAGTGAGTATGATATTGCATGAAAGCATCTTCAATAACGTGGAATGTTAAGATAAATTTAAGATGTCTGATGCATGGATACATAAATAAGCTCATCACCACAGCCCTAGAAGTTTGGCATCACATTCAAACATAGGGTTGCTTATATCTAACTCACAGGTAGCCAGTAGCAGCATTAGCATAAAAGTTTATTTGTTTTCTTTTACTTTTCCTGTTTGAGGAATTTGGTCGGTGCTGGCGAAACATAAAGCATTCAAGATAATCCCCCCACAAAACAGTTTCATCCTGAAGTCACTATGTATCTTTATCTTTGCCATGAGAACAAAATATAAGCTGCTTCCCTTACCGAACACTAAGCGACACTATATATATTTGCTTTGTAAAGAGATGTCTGTAGGAAAAGTGTTAGGATGCACAGGAGCTACCTGCCCAGGTAAAGTGCCAACCACTTGCTACCTAGAGGATCCCAGAATACAAACGTGAAGACCACAGACATTACTTAGATAAAGCTGATTCCAAGGCAGTTATGACGAAGACCTGGTCAGGTAGGAAAGTGCAAACAAGGAGAAAAATTACATATTCAGAGCCAATAAGACCAACCCTACCATAAGTCACATTTTAGAGACTCATGGAGAGACTCTCAGGACAACAAAACTGTGATTTTTACATATAATATGGCAAGAGAGTTTGCCAATTACAATGTCACAAAACAAAACAAAAAAATCTCTGCCCTGAAGCTTCCTGACTTTGTAAAACTTGATTTATGGAAAGAAATGAAGAAAGAAACAGAAAAGGGGGGTGGTATTCAGTAATGGACAGGCAATGACCTAAAAATATTATCTGAAAAAATAAAAATATTATTTGTAGATTGAGTTGAATTATATTTTACTATATCTGATCTAAAAAAAAATACCTAAAGACATAGAATAAAGAACTTCCTGACATACGATGACTCCGCCCACCGCTGTCGGTGCTAAGCAGCCTACCTTTGGCTACGTCGGTGGCCCAGGTCATGATGTGATCCATGTCCATCTCCTCGCTCCTGTTGCTGTTGATGTAATCATACAGGGATCCCAGAGAAGCATATTCTGTTTTAAAAAGGAGTAAGACACAATTAAAGCTGTGCTTTGGAAACAAGACTCTATATTTTCATTGAGAAAACATATTAAAGAGTTTAATAAAAGATGATATTAAGACTACGTAAGAGTCGCCTTGATCATGGTATCTCTTCTCAGTAATAGAATAGTGACTAGGACAGTTTTATTCTTTTTTTTTTTTCCCCAACTTGAGGCTTTTTATCTCTTTCTCTTGTCTGACTAGACTGCTGGAGCCTTCAGCACAATGCTCGATGAATGTGGTAAGAACAGAATCCATCTGTGCCAGCTTTTCAATCATTGAGCGTGATGTTAGCTGTGGAGTTCTATAGCTGCTATTTACTGAGACAATTCATTTTTACTCCTAGTATGAGGGGACTTATCATTATCAATGGAGGTCACAGTCTCTCAAGTGCTTTCTGTAAGGACTGCAGATACAGCTCAGCGATAGGACACTGTGCTAGCATGCCCAAGGCCCTAGGTTCAGCCCCTACCACCACCAAAAAGAACCAATACAATCAAATCTTCTCTTGTATCTTTTGAAGTGTCCACATTTTGTTTTCGTCTTATATTCTATTACCTGTTATTGTACCCTCTATTAACTGATTTCAGATGTTAAGCCAACACCTTGTATTCCTGGAAAATATTTCACTGGTCATGGAGTACAATCTTTTATTATTGTCAGGATTTTTTAAAATTTAATTAAGGCAAAAATTATATCATTCCTCCTCTTTCACCTCCCTTCTACCCCTTTCATGTCTGGCCTTTCTCCCAAATTCGCAGTTCCCTCTTCTTTAACCAATATTATCATATATAATGCAATATAGATAAATATATATTATATACTATTCACATATATATAAATATATATGAATAAACACATGCACACTCCACTGAGTCCCCTTATACTGCTTGCGTGTATATGTTTCTAGAGATGACCATTCTGTACTAGCTAACCAGTCTGGGGCTCATCCCTGGGGTAGACTATTGCCTGTAGCTCTTCATCTAGGGGTGTGGTCAGTGAGATTTTCCCCTGTCTACCTTGGGATGTCCACTGTTGTTGGAATTATTCAGTTCTTGCTTACACAGTCCTGTGATGGAATACAACATTTTTTAACATGTTTTAACATTTTTTAGTTTCTTTATGCTAATATGGTTACAAAGTTTTGTATTGAATGCATGAGGGATGTTGACTTTGTTTCCTGATCATGTCTTTGTGTGGTTGCTTTGGTGTAGGTATAACACTGGCCTTATAGACTACTGACCTCTCTGTCTTCAGACAGTATGGGGAAGGAAGGTTGATATTATTTCTTCTATAAATATCTGATAGAATTCACTAGCAAAAATAATCATCTTTTCTTTATGGAAATATTTTAAACTACTAATTATGTTTTTATTATACATAGATCCAGATTTATTCCTTGAGTCAGTTTTATTGTTGTTGTTTTATTTTGTTCATTTGAGACAGGGTCTTAGGTAGACCAGGCTAGACTCAAACTTGCTACACAACAAAAGCTTGCCTTAAACTCCTGATATTCCTGCTTGCACCTCCAAGAGCTGATATCATTTCAGAGGTCCAGCTCTAGAGTCAGGTGGATCATTGCATCATCTCAGGAGACGGCTGATTGCATGCAAGCAGGCTTATTTATTAGTACAGCTGCACGCGTCACTCATGAGCTTCTGGAGCTCCCTCAGGAATCACAGCCTTCTTTTCTCCCCATCCATGGCTTTGCCAGGGTCTCTCTTTTCTTAGTCAATCTGGCTAAAGATTTATTTTGTTAAGTGTTTAAAAACCAAGTCTTCTTTTTTTTTTAATTTTTCTCTGCCATTTCAATCTTCCATTTTATTGCACCTGTCCTGATGTCTCACTTTTTCTTTTCCGTGTCTTACTTCGGTCCTCTTGGATTCTCCTTTCTGCTCTTTCTTCGGGATGAAGATGCTGATGGTACCAAGCTCAAACTTGCTTCTCTTACCATACAGCTGCTGGAGATTACACACTCCCTGCTTAGTGCTGCATTTGATAGTTCTGGCATGTTTCCGTTTTATTCTATTCTAGTCTAGTACAAATCTTTAAGGCATTGTGATTTCTTTGGGGATCCAGAAGGCATTTAAAAGCATGGCATTTAATTTTCAAATACTCGGTGCTTTTTTTTTTTTTGCCATGTCCTTTGGTTGCCCATGTTTAATTTAATTCAACTGTGGTTGGAGAAAATGCATTGTACAGTATCAATGATTTCTGATCTACTGAATATGATTTATGATTTAATGACCTCACGCTATATCTGAAGAGCATCCCTTGTAGATGGTGCGCTATGCAGATGTGAGTTAGGGGCATTTGGCTGAGAAGGTTCTTTAACTTCTTTATACCTCTGCCAATTCTGTTTAGTTATCCTACCAATTATTGAAAGGAAGATTGAAAGTAATTATTGTTGAATTGCTACAATTATTACAGATCTCTAATATATTCACCCCTTTATCATTACAAATTGTCTTTATTTGTTTCTAGTATTATATAAATTCTATTTTGTGTGATGTTAGCATAGATACCCTGGTTTCTAATGAGTACTATTGGCATAGAACATCCTTCTCTTTCTTCTTATTTTCAACCTGTGTCTTTGACTCTGATATATGTATTGTAAATAGTGAATACTTTAACCCTGCTTTGTTATCATACCTAAAAAGTCTCTGCCCTTTGATTGGAATATTAAGACCACTCATATTTAATGTAATTAATGACAAAATTGGGTTGACATCTGCCATCTTGTTTTTTTATGTCTCCTGGCTTCAGTCAGATGTTCCCTATTTATTGCACCCTAATATATCATTTTGATTCTTTGACTATTTTACAGATTTATTTTCAAAATTGTGGCGGGCGGGGGGAGAGATGGGGATATGTATACATGAAGAGTCAATCGCCGTTAGATACAACCCTGGAGATGGAGTTACAGGCAGTTATGAGCCAGCCAACATGGCTGCTTGGAACTGAACTCAAATTCTCTGCAAGAGTAGTATGCATATTAAAACAGGCTCTCATTATATATCTGTGGCTGGACGTAAGATCACTCCATAGACCAGGCTGGCCTCAAATTCATAGAGATCTGCCTGCCTATTCTCTTGAGTGCTGGGATTAAAGGCGTGCACCACCAACCAGGTTCTTAACTACTGAACCATCTCTTCATGCCTTTGATTTTTTTTAAATAAGGTCTTCCTGTACAGCTTGGGCTGGTCTCAAATTCACAGTCCTGTGCCTCAGCTTCCTGTGCACGTAGATCATAGACTCCTGCCACCTCCTGATCAATGTGTTTTTAATTTCTTGAGTGACATCTTTGTGGCGACTCAAGAAATGATATAACACATTTCATAGCACAATAATTTCAGATTTATACTAATCTAAAATCTAAAATATGTTATACTCTTTTCTCCACTATGACTATTGCTCCCTGATCTTTTATACTATTATTGCAATATGTTAAATTCCTATGTTTTAATCAATAAAACATTCATTGCTCTATTAAATTTTGTTTTTAAACATGTTATGAATGAGACATGAGAATGTATTTAAAGAGTCTTATATCAGGTCACCTTTTCACCCTTTTTCTTGCCATGAGTTCTTTCCTGAGATTCTTTCATTATTTAGTGTCCTCCTTCAGCTCAGAGGACCTACTTTAGTATTGCTTTCATCTGTTGTTTCCATACGAAGGCTCACACCGAAGGCCTCCTTGCTGACTACATGTTCTACGTGACGCCCTAAGCCCAGTATTTCTATTAAGCAGATCTTCCTGCAATAACACCACTCATTCTCTGTCCCAGAACAACTTTATAGTTATTTCACCATTAGGAGACATTTTCTTTCGCTTGATGCGCTCCTTTCTTTCCATAGGTACATATCATTTTATTGGCATCTGGCCTCCATTCCTGAAGATGAAAAGTCATCGCTGATCATTTTGTCTTTTATATTTTGGGGCTGTTTCCCCCTTACTTTCTTCAAAATTTTCACTTTGGCTTATCAGTGGATTGGCCATGGTTTGGATGTGAGCTCTTTTATAGTTAACATTAGATGACTTTAAATCAGTGACTAGCAAAACTAACATCTTAACTACTCTACCAAGGGAGTGAACTCATCCACCTTTCGTCTCATTGGGAACTGAAGACTCACCATAAATCCATACGGTTCTCAAATCACTTTATGTTTCCCTAGAAGTTAGTTTATTGAGCTTCAGTGTAAAGTATTTGTTCTCTCTCTCTCTTTCCCTCTCTCTGTCTCTTTCTTTCCTTTTTGTGAGTAAAGGTCACAATTTTATTGTTTTTATAACAGCTTAGAACTGGATCACTTGGTTCTTTCTCTTATCGACTCCCAGTTCAATGCTCACATTTCTTACTAGCCAGCATCCTCTCGGATGCAGGTGGGCTCAGCAAACTCAAGTCTCACTGCAATCTTCTTTGTAGTTTTGCCCTTTGGTGGAAAGTAGGCTCAGTCTGTCCACCGTAGCTACTCTGCTTCCTGTCCTAATGCCACTTTCCCTGGGAATACCAAGAATCCTTGCTCTTCTTGTCCTGTGTCCTGTGACTCCTGCTTGCCGTGTTGTTCTGCAGAATGTCCAGTGGGTCTTGGGAACGTTCACCATGTTAACAGGAGCAATATTGGCACAGAAAGCTCTGCTTTAATTTTTTTTTTTAAAAAAAGTTACTAGCAGGGGCTGGAGAGATGGCTCAGTGGTTAAGAGCACTGACTGCTCTTCCAGAGGACCCTGGTTCAATTCCTAGCACCCACATGGCAGCTCATACCTGTCTGTAACTCTAGATCCAGGATATCTGACACCCTCATATAGGGAAAACACATCCACATATTTTTTAAAAAAGTTTTAAGGAAGTTAAATATGTTCTTTGATTTCCAAGCTGTTTTTTTTTTCTTTTGAGTTTTATCGTAATGGTAGCAGGCTCTGAAAATGCAAATGTGTATATATATATATATATATATATATATATATATATATATATTTATCCCTTAGAATCCTTAGGGGATTGAGTCCCCCCATCCAGGTACTAAAATGTCTATATAGGTTTTTTTCTATAAAACAACAGTGTTTGCATAACTATGTAACACACACAATGTAAACAAATGTATTTTTGTTTTGTTTGCTTTTCTTTTTCATTTGTTTTTGGTTTTTCAAGACAGGGTTTCACTGTGTAGTCCTGGCTGTCCTAGAACTCACTCTATAGACCAAGCTGGCCTTGAACTCACAGAAATCTACCTGCCTCTGCCTCTTGAGTGGTGGGATTAAAGGTGTGCCCCACCAATTCCCAGCACAAATATTTTTTTTAACTGAAATATTTTAATTGACACATATTCTATAGAAAACATACTTTGAATTATGTTCTCTTTTTGATGGTCTTACTATCTTGCCCTACTGAACAGCAGCGACATCAAGTCGTGGCCTCCAGTCTGTCGCAAGGGTCACAAAGGGTACCCCTCATATCTTACAGTGTGCTGTGTTGCTGAATTATAATGTTTAATAGGGTAGGTACGCTAAATGCACTTTCGTCTTGGATACCGGCCATTTATGGCGGGCTTACTGAGATTTCAGCCCACTGTGGATGGAGGAACATCTGTTCTTAGAATCATTTCTCTACCCCTCACACTAGCAAATGGAACGTAGACGCTAAGCAAACAGTGGTTATAGTACATTGCTTTCCATCATCACTGCCCCCCTCCCACTCTGGTCTCTTTCTTTCTCTCCTTAGTTGGTTAAATTCATGAATGGGGAACCTTTGCATATGGAGAACCCAGCGTTCTACTGTTGCAACAAATATCATTATCATGAAACTTCCTCATAAGGTGCCACCAAGATGACGAACCTTCGTATAGATTACGACCAGTGAATGTCTGCAATCTGTTCTAAACTGCGAGACTTGCCCCTAATTAGCTAATGAGAAGGACCAGTCAATAACAGAACACACAAATGAGATGTGTCTGTGATTAAAGCAAACCAAGGTCAAGCTGAAGGAAATGAGTTTGGGGACTTACAATTAATATGCTCTGTGGTTGAATTGAATGAGGACGCGGCTGGACCTGATCAAAGCTGTTTACTGTAAAACTGTAAAATCCAACGTTACAGGTACAGTGGCCCTATCTCTGCTCACTAGGACGTACAAACGTAAGTGTAAAATGTTTACAAGTATATCTTTTGTAGTTTCTTGTGGCCAAATTTTCCATGTGCTCATTCTCAGAAAGGGTATTTCCATCAGCTAAAAATTCCTGCTCAAAACTACGTGATAACTTAGCTCAAGGTCGTTATGAGCGCAAATGACCAAACCTGAAAAATATGATCCTCACATCAGGGACCCGAATAAAGAGCGCCGGTGGGATTAGGATGCGCTGCAAGACTTACAGCACGAACAGCTCCAGAAATCTTAATTTATAAAAGGTCACAGAGTTACAAAAAACATCTCTCACTTCAACTAATTAAATGAAATTTTAGTTAAGTGGCACCTTACATATCGGCACTGAGCTGCAGGTGCATTTGCATCTACACAGGTGTAATTAGCACAATTAAACATGGGAGAGTGGAAACACCATTCTTAATTATATTGATATAATCAGTTTTATTAATGCTTTATGGCAACAAACGTGGCATCTGTCAGTAGTACACACTTCATGACAGAACCTAATATTAAGCATTTTAGCACATGAAGGAATCAAAAGTCAGGTACCTGGGAGGGAAGACAGACCAACAGTGAGGTCCTACCTGTGACGATACCGTAGTTGGGAGGTTCCAGAATGACTCCATAAAACTGGATGATGTTCCTGTGGCTGAGGACGCTCAGGATCTCAGCCTGGACGAAAACAAAAGATGGCATGGTGTAAAAGGTCACCCGTGTGCGTTTTATTACATAGGCTTCACACATCACATGTGTACATATTAATACATAGGCTTCACAGTCACCTCTGTGAGTCTTATTACATAGGCTTCACACATCACATGTGTACATATTAATACATAGGCTTCACAGTCACCTCTGTGAGTCTTATTACATAGGCTTCACACATCACATGTGTACATATTAATACATAGGCTTCACAGTCACCTCTGTGAGTCTTATTACATAGGCTTCACACATCACATGTGTACATATTAATACATAGGCTTCACAGTCACCTCTGTGAGTCTTATTACATAGGCTTCACACATCACATGTGTACATATTAATACATAGGCTTCACAGTCACCTCTGTGAGTCTTATTACATAGGCTTCACACATCACATGTGTACATATTAATACATAGGCTTCACACGTCACCTGTGTGAGTCTTATTACATAGGCTTCACACATCACATGTGTACATATTAATACATAGGCTTCACAGTCACCTCTGTGTGTCTTTATTACATAGGCTTCACACATCACATGTGTACATATTAATACATAGGCTTCACAGTCACCTGTGTGTGTCTTTATTACATAGGCTTCACACATCACATGTGTACATATTAATACATAGGCTTCACATGTCACCTGTGTGTGTCTTTATTACATAGGCTTCACACATCACATGTGTACATATTAATACATAGGCTTCACACGTCACCTGTGTGAGTCTTATTACATAGGCTTCACACGTCACCTGTGTGAGTTTTATTACATAGGCTTCACATGTCACACGTGTGGGTCTTAATACACAGGCTTCCCATCCGCGTTGCTTTCACTTACATGGAAAAGACACATGCATGCTCAACAAGAATGTGATGCTGACAAGACTGCCTTCAGAAGCATAGTTCAAAGTCTAAAACTTCCTGACCGCGACTGAGATGGCAACAAGCGTCACAACTACTAGTCAGTCCACGTGGCAGGGGTGGAGGATGAAGAGGCAGACAGAATATTTATGTTCAGTAAAAGCCCTTTTCTAAGCAGCCAAATATATTTTTCCTATACACTGTCTCTTTGGTGCGGGGGGGGGGGGTGTGGGCAGCAAGCCTGGACTTTTATCAGCTGAGTGAGTCAGAATTAAGCTAGAAGTTCAACCTTCCTAACGCTGGGACCCTTTCACACAGGTCCTCATGTTGTGCTGACCCCCAACCATAAAATTATGCCATTGCTACTTCAGAACTGTAATTTTGGTACTGTTGTGAATCGTAACGTAAATATCTGATATACAACTCCCCGGAGGGGGTCACAACCCCCAGGTTGAGAACCACTGCACTACTGGAATAGATTCACTTAATTCTGTTATTTATAGTGTACCCAAGGTATAGTGATTTTCCAATAAGTAATTAGAAATACATTATCACCGTCTTCGCATGTGAATGCAGAAAGGTAGATCCCTGATGTTTGCTGGAGAGCTAATAGGAGGCCATGTTGGTACAGTATGAAATGTGTTACTGCTAGGAAACTTTTCACGAATGGCATGGCAAAATAAGTTACATTTATTAAACTTAACTTTTAACTTAAAAACATCATAGTGCATATTTGCTAATATCAAAAAGAGGACATTGTATTGCCGGATAGTTTTATGCCAACTTGACGTTAGAGTTATCGGAAAGGAGGGAACCTAAACTAAGACAATGCCTCCATGAGACCCAGTTGTAGGGCATTTTCTTAATTAGTGATTGATGTGGGAGGGCCCAGCCCGTTGTGGGTGGTGCTGCTCCTGGGCCGGTGATCCTGGGTTCTTTAAGAAAGCAGGCTGAGCAAGTCACAGGGTTAAGCCAGTAAACATCATCCCTCCATGACCTATACCTCTGCTCCTGCCTCCAGGATCCTGCCTTGACTTGAGTTCTGGCCTTGACTTCCACCAGTGATGGACTATTACCTGGGAGAATAAGATGAAATAAACCCTTTCTTTCCCTAAATTGCTTTGGTCAGAGCATTTTATCACAGCAATAGTAACCCTAGCTAGGACAGAAATTGGTACTAGAATCATGGGGTATTGCTGTGGCAGACATGACATGCTGCTGGGATAGGGGCCATGTTTGTGGGGACTTTGGAGGGACTCTGGCACTTTGGGCAAGAGACTTCAGTGAGTCTTCAATGCTTGCGAGCTGTTTCGTGGGAATCTGGGAGAGAGAGAGAGTGTTGACGGCAATGTGGAGCATGAGATCCCAGGTTGTGAAGTTTCAGAGAGAAGTTTAAAGACTCTATTGGCGCCATTTGCTATTTTGAATTTGGATTCCATGGTTCTGGTTGCTGGGGCTGAGGAGTTGGCTGTGGTTAACAAGATATCAGAACTCATTAGGACATTATGTACATAAATCATATATATATTACAGTCTTATCACACTATGGAGATAAATTATGGCTAATCAAGAAATTTAGAATGTAAGGAGGCATAAGTCAAATATAGAAAAGGTTTAACATTTTAAGTGTACAGCATATTACTGGCAACCAGAAAACGGAGTTTTAATTCTCCAGCCTAGGAAGGGGCTACCAAGAGGAAAGTCAGAAAGGGCTCCCCAAGGGAACCTACTAACTATGAATTAGTGAGGGATTTCCTACATATTTATTTCCATAAATAAGAGTTGTGATTTCATCAAAAACACACCCTGCAACTAGTAAGTAGGTAGAAAATAAATGAAGTTTTGAGGGTTGGTGTGAAGTTGATACTGGCAAGTATAAAATACTGGACAGCTCACTTGTGTCAGTAGCCAATCTCTTCTTCGACCTAAGCTAGCTGGAAGGGTCCCTTGAGCTAGATTTCAGAAAAATGACTGTCCAATGATGCAAAGGCCAGGTGTGAAATTTATGTTCTACAGCTCACCCTTGTCTTAAACTTTGGGAGCTAGGATTTGATGGCAGTGCTTCAAGTGTCCCTGTCCAAGACAAACAAGCACCTTTGCTAGAGACGCCCCGCTTGCTTTTTTCTCTTTGAGCACACCCTGTGTCTGGAGTGAACCTCTTAGGGACTCAATGCTAGCCATGTCATGGTCATGGGAGGAGAAGCCTCAAATGCTAACTTACTAAAGCCAGCAGCATCCCTATCAACAACCTATAAACACTTGTCCTTAGACCCACAGGTAAGTGTAGTCTTCACCATGTGCTAGGGAGACTTCTCTTTGTAACAGACAGAGACCACCATGAAAAACCACAACTAACCAAAAACCAAAATGCAGAGGTGTGAAGCCAGGCCCAACAGATAAGTTTCAAAACATGCCCAAGCCTACAGCTCAGGGAATATTGCAGAAGAAGGGTAGAAAGCTTGTAAGAACCGGAAGTTCAGGGAGTTTGCTGGCAGATTGTGTTTCCTGGTAATGTCAGAAGCTACACCCATCAAGCCTCACCAACATAACTACTTAAACATGAAGTGAACAAGAACAATGGTACACAAGTCAAAGTGGATGGGGAAATGACCCCGAGGCTCAGTCCTACAGAAAGAACTCTAGGCCACTGAGGGAACCTGGGAACAGGAGAGACAGCTTTCCCCAGGGAAGGGCACACTGGTTGTCCAGTGCCAAAACATACACCTTAGTAATATTACATGGTCTAAAAGGTTATATTTAGGAATATATTATAACACACACATATACACATACGCATGCATAACAACTAGTGAAAAAAGAGGCCATAAATTTGAAGGAGAGCTGGGAGATATCTATGGGAGGGCTTGGAGGGAGGAAAGGGAAGGGATAAATGTAATTATATTATTTCAGAAATTAAAAAAAGGCAGACGCTTACTCAGCCTTAAAGCTTCTGTCTGCTCCATCCTGCCATCTATTTCCAGCAGGTGAGCTGCGTGCTCTGCTTCTCTTCATGTCGCTGCAGCAAGTGCTCCTCCCCAGTGCACGGAGATGGAGCCCCAGTGCTCGGCAGGGGAGCCTCTTTATGCAGGCTGCTCGTGGTGAGCAGCAGGCATACCCAGCAAAGATGCAGCAGGCCCTCCAGCAGAGGGAAGCTTGTATAAAGGGAAAGCCCTGGTTCCTGGGTAAGGAGCACTCCTTATCTTCATGACCACAGAGCCCACAACTGTTGTCCTTAGTAGGATAGTGGACAAGGAGCAAGAGATCTTGGAACTCTGAAGGCAGTACTTGGAGACCTGTGAGGCCAGACTGCCTACTTCCTTCAGGCCGGGGCAGACCTTCCCTTTCCATCCCTTCTCTGCTAACTGCATCACACTCTCATCACCAAGACAAGGACAGTTCTCAGTCTCAGGCAAAAGGCTTGTATGCAACAAGTTTTGGGGGCTCAAACGGACCCAACCCTGAAACATGCCGCCCGAATCACTGCATTCATGGCTCGGAACATTTTCCTAAAATCAAACCCCCTTTTCAAAAGTGACTCATACATAGTGGTAAAATGGAAAACTAGCCCCTTGACTTTGGAAAAGCTGTCACAAGAACAACCTACACAGCAGGATGGGGGGTTTAATCACCAGAGTGTCAGGCACAGGTCAGGCCTTTTGAGTCACTCCAGGTTTAATGAGACCCATTCCCTTTCCAGCGAGGCTCCCCAGGTACTCAGGGAGGAAGAAAGGCTAAATGAACTGAATCCGGGCTCCATAATAGGAACCCTATATCCCTAAAGAGATTTGACGTCATAAATACATGTTTTTTTCCCTTCTAGGAAACTGGTTACAGATGCTAAGAAAAACAAAACCAGTCATTTTCCCCGTGTTTCTTAAAAACTGACCCCAGGTCGCGTGAGGCTTTCGTCAGCCACGTCAGCAGAACTGAGAAGTTTCTGGTTGCTCAACGGTTTTCCTGGGTGGGATGCTACAGCCAACTCAGCACCTGGAGAGGGGCCTTGGCCCTCTAGGTTAGTGCATGCCTAACTAAACTAAGATTAGACTAACCTGGCTGAACAGGAGGGTGGTAAGAACTTAGTGGAACAAACAGTGTTCAGG